CTTCCATGCTTCATCAGCTTTATTATTTGTCCTTGCAACACAAGGTATATCCCCCATGACAAGATATCTTGTAAATATTTTCTTTTGTCTGTATATTCTATATTTTTTATGAACGTATGCATGCAACTTTCATAAAGCAAACACGTGACTGACTTGAAAGCATAGTCAGGCACCTAACACTGGGGATTTTCCTAGGCTTTCTTCCCACCTTCGGACCTGCCTGGATTAACCTGTATGGCTCCCCCAGGAACCACAGTCTGATGGATGACTACCAGGAGATGAATGAGGGCTTTGGGGAAGGTGTGTCCTTCAGGGGCCGAATCTTGGTGGAAATTGCTGTGGAAATCCTCTCGGGTGGGACCCAAGAATCTAAATTTTCCAAGGCTCTGAAGGAACTCAAGTTGTCTTCCAAGGACAAAGACTCCAAATCATCCAAAGGCTCAAGTAAAGACAAGTCTGACAAAGCTGATGATGGAAAACCCCAGCAGGCTTCTGACAAAACCAACTCCACAGAGGTGGAGGTGGAATCCTTTGATGTGCCCCCAGAGGTAGGTCCGAGCTCTGTTCCTCTGCATCTGATGGGAGGGGAGCCCAGGGTGGAGAGAGACAGCACGGCCACAGGCTCCAGAAGACCTTCGGCCATTCAGGTCTCATTTTCTTGCAAAATTGTGTTGACCTAGTGCTGAATTCAGGGGCAGATCTCTGTCCATTCCTGTAGGCAGTGTGACCATCTGCTCATGATAAATTCCTTCAGAGTCCCACAAGCATGGATTCCATGGGAACTGGAGGAAGGAGGCATAAAAGTGGTCAGAGGCGTTGGTGGGGGTGGGTGGTGGGATGGCTGACAAGATTCTATCTTAGGTTTGTTAAGCTACTTTTTGCCTGGAGTATGCTCCGTATGTGGGGCCATGCGGCAAGAGGGAAGAAGAGCAGGAAAAGTAGGGGAAAATGAGGATGCAGAATTCTGAGAAATTAGTGCCCTGCTACACTACTGTGAGGAAATCATAACGCCCATGTAATGGTCCTCCCTATTCAGCTTGCCTTGAATCTTCAGCTAAGCCTCTCTGGAAACACCCTCACAGACATGCCCAGAGGTGTATCTTAGTGTCAAGTTGATAGTCAACACTAACTACCCTATCTTCCTTATTTTTGTTTCCTATAAAACACTTGACTTTAGTCACTTGGTGAGGATGTAATGAATCAATATATGCAAAGTGCTCAGAACAGAGCCTACCACATAATAAACTCTCACAAATTCCAGTTTTGTTTAGTGACTTTGGGCAGCTCTCTGAACGTCCTCATTTCTAGTTGGGTATATTAAAATGCCTCCCTTCTTGTGTAGTTGTAAATCTCACACAAGATAATATAGGCAGCTTTTTTCTTACTACCACAGTGGGCACAATGAGAGCTCAGTGCACATTATTAATCATCATTTTTCCAGTTCAATATGTGCTTCCAAGTCAGACGTGGTAGCACTTACCTTTAATCCCAATGCTCAGAAGGCAGAGGCAGGTGGATTTGTGTGATACCGAGGCCATTCTGCTCTACATAACGAATTCCAGGTCAACTGGGATTCAGGGAAACACTGCCTCAAGAAATAAAAACAAATAATATAAAAATTATGTGCTTCCAGAAGGGAGAACCCTTTGGGTTGGAGTTTGAAGGAGGCAAAGGATTAGGAGAGCAATTCAAACTTTGAAATATTTACTGTGTTTATATGCCTGCTTTTTGCTGGGTGCTTCAAGGAATATTATTTCTGTCCTCTCCTCACTATGGACCCTACTGTGAAAATTTTGTCTCAGATAAGGAAAGTGACAGTCAGAGAATGAATGTAACTTTCCTAAAGTCCAGTAGCTGGTGGATCAGTTTGTCTGGCTGTGACATCTGCCATCTGTCCTTGAGGCTGTATGATCTGCCTTCCCCCCCGTCTCTTTGTGATTTTTTCATCCTCCTCCCAGAGAGTAAACTCAGCCTGAAGACTGTGAGATAAGAGGCTGGTTAATACTCAATGACTAAGCTCTAGCACTGAGCTTCCACCCTACCCCATGCTCCTGATCAATAGAAACATTTCCTGGGTTTGCCAATACCTCTCACCTAGTGATCTGAAACCCTTTGGTTCTCAGAGGGGCATGGTTTAGGACTCTTGTTCAATCAGAGCTCTAGATCCACGGAGCTACTGCGGCTGTTTCCTTAAATCTACCTTTCTGCTTTTCCCATGGAGTTTAATAAATCTACCTTCAAAACCAGGAAGCCTCAACTGTCTGTCTTCACCTCGCTCAAGCTCTTGTCTAAGCAATGTGATGCTAAGTCACATTGTGCACTAGAGACATCTGCTTCCTAAGTCACCTACCTGTTCCACAGTAAGAAGAGCTGCTTGTGGGGTTGCAGAGATGGCTCAGTGGTTAAGAGCACTGGCTGTCCTTGCAGAAGACCCGGGTTCAAATTCCAGCACTCACATGGCAGCTAATAACTGTAACTCCAGTTCCAGGGGATTCAACGGCCTCTTCTGTCCTCTGTGGGACATTGCACAACATGGGTGCAGTTAACATATATGCAAGCAATACACACATACACAGAAAATAAAAATAATAAAAAAATTTTTTTAAAGAAGAGCTGCTTGCAAAGAGCTGGGTCTGACCTTGCAGTGCTCCTGTTTTATGACCTGCCATAATGCAGTCTTCTAGACTATCTGTGGGCTCCTTGACCAAGCAGCCTTGATGGAGACCAGGTCTCAAGTCTTACCTGACTTTAACTTGCTCTGTGAACTTAGGAAGCCCTTAATCTTTCTGAACTTTAGTTTGTTGAGGTAAAAAGTGGAGGCTGGAGTAGTAAATGTTGATGCCCTTTCAAATGTAAAAGCATTTGTGATTCACAGATGAGTGGATCCCTTACCTCAGCACCCACAGTGTGTACAGAGCTCTGGACACACAGGATTGATTGATGCTTGTGCCTGTGCCTACCCCTTCACCCTTTTTATCTGAGTTTATTCATTGTTTCAGGAAGTAAACTTTGCGGGTCAACACCAAGGCAACAAGTTAGCACATGTTAAGCTCAAAGAACATTGGGTCTGTGGTCAGAATGCTTGGGAAAGTTACTCAACAAACTCAAGCTTCAGTTTCTTCAGTTTCTATATCTGTAGACTGGAAACGCTTTAGAGTTTGTGCTTTTAAAGTTGTTATAAAGAACAAATAATATAATGTATCTGAACATCCTATAGAAGCCATGTAATTATGCTCATGTATAAGGGTTTAGTACTGTAACTCTCAGTATCTAGCCTTTGCTTTTTTATGTCTACAAGCCTGGTCAGAGGGTCATTCCAAGCAACATCTTAGGAAAATACATACCAAAGTCATTTTTTACATGAGAAGCTATTTTTTATATGTTAAGCTAGCAGTTTGAAGGGTGATCCTATCCATTTTAGACAAGTGGACAAGTGGCTACACAGTTTGGATTTGTAGTTTGTTGGTCATGCTTGCTGCCTGTCTGATTGTGGGAAGGCATTTCCATCTGTAACAGAGATTCAGAGACCTCTGAATTATACAAGACAAGCTGAGCACCACTAATTTAGCTTCCCAGTGAGAAAAAAGCCAGTTTTGTCTAGCAATTTTTTTCTTTTTGTAGATTATACCAGAGAAATATGAGGAATTTTTACTCTTTGGAGCCTTTTTTGAAGCTACCATGATTGACCGGAAGATTGGAGATAAACCCATCAGCTTTGAAGTTTCTATTGGTGAGTGCAGACAGGCACAGTTCTTGGGACATACTTCTTGAATAAATTAATTTTAATACTTTATGTGAAGATGGCTGCAGTCTGGCAACGATATGCCTTTTAGAAAGGAATGAATAGAATGAATAGTTCTGTGTCTACCCAATGTCAATACATATGAAGTAGATTTGTTTTCATACTTTGTAAAAATAGTAAGTAGCATAGGTTGAGATTTAGAGATATGGGTTATTAATCCTGGTACCATTTAGTTAATTTCTCTTGGTCTTGGTTTCTTCGTCCATAAAATAGTGATGATAACTGCTCACAGGGTTGTGCAGTTTGATGAGTAAATACATATAAAGCACCATGCCTCCAACAGATACTATTGTTGCAATTCCTGGCCATTGTTCTTGTCTATTGTGCAGTTCTAATAAAAGCACTTTTCCAATAGAGAAGATCTGATTCATATTTGGAAAGTTCTGTGGCAACACAGCAGAAGGGAGTAGATGATGACACTCAGTCCTGAGCTTATAGCTGGAAGCTCAACATAGAACCCCATGTCTGTATGTACATAGGGTACAAATGCTTGTTGGCAACACTTGTCTTTACAGGGAAGGCAGAGGGACCATGACGTTAGCTCAGATAAGAAAGGCCATTGTGGGAACTATGAGAGATTTAAAAGTTGGCTTTAGGCAACTAAGGGCCGTAAGAGGAAGGAGGCTCATAACATGGAACTCCAAGGGGAGAAGGGATATAGATAGATGGAAAACTGTGATGATATGAGGCCTTCCAAGGAAGAACTTTCCAACAGTTCTTAGTAGTCTGGGTTCCATAGAGAGCCTGGATTCTGGAGGGAGGCATGAGCTCTGCATATAGACCTCTGCCTGCCTGCCCTACACCCTCTGGTCTCTTATGGTGACTCTATCCCTCTCAGGCTCATCCTCCATGATATCTGCCTTTGGCTCCTGGAGCTGTGAAATCCATTCTTCGGCATCCTTGCCTCTTTCACTGTCCTCTCTGTCCATCTCGGACCTCCAGCGTCCACCCATTACCCACTCTCTTCCAAGTTTCCTCAATTATCTTCCATGCTGTTCTATTAAAAACCCCAAACCCTTGATCTGGCCACCAGTGCTTCTCTGCTCTCATGCTCTGGATTTGTGACTGGTTTTCTACAAATTCAATGGTTTTAATCATAATGCATGTCCAGAGAAGTTGGCTAATAATCCCAGCCCATACCTAGTGAGGGTCAGAAAGAAGACTCCAACAAGCCCTGACAGCTATAAGTCTTCTCTCCCTAACATACTGTTATGCTGCCCAAGATGAGAATAATGGAGACCTAAAGGAGAGAAAGAATTAGAATGAGACTGGGGAGAAAGTCTCTCCTGGACACAGTAAGGCACTGAGGTCAATGATATACCAAATATGTACCAAGACCCTGTGTGCCATGACCGGAAGTGAGCAATGAAAATACAGAAATTAAAGATACCATTTTAATCCTTAAGGTGGTTATAGGCACTTAAGTCAGTTATTTGAAAACAAGATAGTGGAGGAAAAACACATCTGTGATCTTAGGGACTTGTTTAGGTCAGGATCTCAGGAAATCAGCCTGGGGAGATTCTTGTACAAGTGAGGCTTTAGTGACATACTGTCAGAGAAAGGAGGTGAAGGAAGGTACCTAGGAAAAAGTTCCTAGGGCCAGGAGCCCAGCCACCATGTGACCCTACAGACTTGGCACAAGGGAGTGTTTTTTTGCATCCACAATGAGTGGGTTGGGTACAGCTTCCAATGGAGGCTGTCTCCAACAGTTGAACACATCCATCCAGGGAAGGCATCCATTATGAAATGCTGACATCTACCTCAGGATCTGGGGTTGAATACCCTTTCCTGGGAGACCTGGCTGAGTTGCCAAAAGCATCTACTGTAGGAACACAGAGCCCTGGCACTGAGTCAACCTGTAGAGAGAAGTAGGAGGCTATGGAAGGAGGCAAACAGTGAGGGAGGCAGGGAGGCTTCCCAAGTTAGGGGTCTATGATCACCAGCTTGTGGATTACAGACCTTTCTTGATTGAAATGATATCTAAAAGTTCTATAACATAGCTCTGAAGCTTTTTCCCAAAGTGGTAAATGTTCACCTTAGTCTTTTTAAGAATTTGAAATATGATTAGAAGATGAAAGGTTGGTGACACTATTATGCTTTTAAGTAATATCTATTCACTTAGAAATATATTCATAGAACAAAACTGCCATGTTTGATTTCCTTCCCTCCCCTCCTCTGCTCCCTCTCTCCTCCAATACCCACTTTCTTTTATGTTTTGAAACATGATGTTGTCTTTGGGTACTCAGACAAGTCTTTTCTTAAAGGATGAGCAGTTTTAAGAAAGTTCGTGATATTTCATTGAAGGAAAAAGGCTGATTTTAAAAATTGCATCTATGTCAGATGTGGTGATTCATGACTTTAATCCCAGCACTGGTTAGGCAGAGGCAGGCAGATCTCTGTAAGATCAAGGCCAGCCTGTTCTACATAGCAAGTTTCAGTTCAGCTGGGTCTACAGGGACACACAGTCTCAAAAAGACCTTCTCCCCAAACAAACCATCTATAGTGATACTTTATACACATTTCCATGGTAAGTTTTGGTAGGATATACACACAAAAAAATATATTAAAAAATGGTAAGCCTGATGACCCGTTTGATCCCTAAGACTCACATGATGGAAGGAGGGAATTGACTTTCACGTGCTGTCCTCTGACCTTCATACATGCACGCACGTGTATACACATGCACACAAACAAATAAATCATAAAATTAAAATAAATTAATTAAAATGGTTACAAATGGTTTTAGATCTTCAGTGACTCCTCTTTTCTCTTTAACTGTCTTTTCAAATTTATGACTTGTGTAGGTTTCACAAAGAAATGAGGCGGATGGAGACGATGGCTTATTGCCCTTGTCAGCCTTATTTCTTTGCTCTTACCATCTGTTCTTTCCTCCTTTACCCCGAGTTCTTATTTCTTTGCTACGAGAAGACATGAACTCAGATCCCCTATGCTAAGCTGACTGGTTCCACTTGCTGACAGACAGCCCCTCTACCCCTTGCTATTGCTGAAGGTAACTTTGGGAACCTGATTGATGGAGGGTCCCATCATGGGAGTAAGAAGTCTGCCGAACTGACTGAAGAAGACGCCCTTCCTTTGCTGCATGAAGGAGAAGGGGATGTGGCCCATGACATTGCCATTTCCATGGCTTCCACCACATGTCCAGAGAAGCCCCTGGTGACAGAAGGGAACAGGTAAGAGACACGGCAGGTGAGAACAGCCAAGTTTCTGATGGTGAGATTTTGGTCAATTCCTGGGACGATTTCATTCAACTCTCCTGTGAAATCAGAAAATAAATTTTATTTCAGTTGGGGAAGTAAGTTGCAAACAGGGAAGCATGCTTAGGGTCACTCTACTAACTCCTTAGCAGCATGTCAGCCCTCCAATAACACACCCAGATTGTCATTTAAAAGACAGCTAAGACAGTGTCATATGTGAAGCCGCTTTGCTCTTAACTTTGAAGCATAACAAGATAGGAAGGAGAGGTTTTAAAATTTCAGCCCAAACCCAATTGACAGTTATCATACGCATCAGGGTTCTGTACCACTGTATAAAGCTGACTTGGTGGGATTGCTGACTACGTAATTTTTGAAGTTATTTTTACCACAGTAATTTGCAAACTAAAGAATGATTATCAGGTAGGGGCTGGAGAGATGAATGACTCAGTGGTTAAGAGCATTGGTTACTCTTGCAGAAGACCTAGGTTCAGTTCCCAGAACCCACATGGTGGCTAGCAACTGTCTGTAAACCCAGTTCCAGGGGATCCAACTCCCTCTTCTGTCCTCTGTGGGTATTTCATAACATGGGTGCACTTAAATATATGCAGGCAAACATTCATATCTATGTATATAAATTTTAAAAAGAATGATTGTCAGGCACCAGAAAGGACCATCTCAGAAAACAGCTGAGGCACCTACATACATCCTGACAACTCTTCAATTCATGCAAAATTTCAACCTGCAGTAGAAATAAAATTACAGAATTGTCTTTAAGAAAGTAATATCACTCTCTAAACACCCTTTTCATCCAGCCATGCATTGCCCCTGCTCTTTGCTGTTCCTGGGTCTTTGAACACACATCCCTGCCTGCTGGGAAACAAGCCCATTCCTCCGCATTGAGCTCTCCTGTCTTCCCCTTTCCCCAGTCCCATGTCTGGTTGGGATTTCTCTACTCATCTTCATCAAGCACTAATCATGCTGGACTAAGGTGGCTTAGTTTTCTAAGTCTTGCATTTTGAAGGCAGGGACCAACCATGTCATAGTCTTTTAATCTGCTTATCTCTGTGACTGTCACACAGCACTTGGTTTTGAATGAGTTAAGGAGTTACTGTGAACATAGGAGCAAAGAGAAGGAGTGGGTGACTGACTGCCTGGGGAGGTAAAGAGTTGGGGGAAGTCATAGAAAAGTGATATATTAAAGGATAAGAAAGGATTTCAGAGACAGAGAACACTGTTTGGACAAAGCAGGGTAAAAGAAAAATAATCTCAGCTGTTTACCTTCTCACTTTTCAATATTCTCTACATTTTCTAAGCCCTGTCCCTCTCCCATGGATCCCCTCCTTTAAGGGGTCTCTTTTTAGCTCCCTACTTTACATACACCGGAAAGACCCCTGAACCTCCCCAAGCTTCAACTCCAGTTTCAAACTTGAAGTGAAGAATTCCTATAACTGGGATCAGCAGCTTGGGAAGACTTTCTAAGACCACTCAAAGGACTCCGTATCCACAAACATTCTCCATCTGGATGGATTAGTCCAATGTTGACTCTTGATGGGATTTCAGGGGCAGTAAAGTGCAGTCTCAAGATATCCTTGGATGGATCCCATATTAGTGTTGGCCTGCCGGCACTAATATAAATTGTGCTGGAATTTAAAAAAATGGTGCATTGAGGCTTTCTTTTTTATTTTTCAGTCTCTGATTAATACTGTATCCATATAGTTGCAAAATAAGAAGGCAGTAGGTGCACTGGATGATGTTACATTTATGATAGTCATGTATGCACATATGGACACACAGGGATGTGCATACACAGACACAAAAACACACATTATCTCTCTTGCCTCTATTAAAATTCCACCATGTATGTATTCTGGGCCTTCTAGTTTTACAAACTGTATATTTGCCTATAATTTCTGTGCTGAGTCAGACAGAGGTGAGGAATGAGATTGGAGTAGATGACAATCCAATGGCAGCTCATCATTAAATTCCCAGGATTCCAGACCTGTTCTTGCCCATAGTTACAAACTGGAGTATGTTGGGGCTGCCCTTCAGACCAGCCAGGCATCCTCTCACTGGCTATTTTCCAGGGAGCCTCAACTGCCTGGTCATCATAGACCAGGAGAACCCTGAAAACCAGAGACAAGGGCCAGGAGCACCATTAGCTCAAGATAATTCAAAGAAACCTTGAGACCAAGTACAGTGTTGGGTGGGAACTTACTTAGATACAGGATTCTCAGTAATCATTTTAGAGATAAAATAAAGAACAGTTTGGTTTCTGACCTTTTGTCTTTGTTGTTTTTCTCCTGCTGTAATAATTGCTTCAGTTCCTGCCAAGAACCTATTTGGCTTACTTTTCTGAATGGATACTTGCTGGTTTATTTTCTGCCAAGCAGGCCAGGGGGCCCTTTTGCTAATCCTGATATCTATTTCAGAAGAAATTTGGATGGGGTTGCTGAAAAAGAACAGCCATCCAATCTTTTAGGCTGAAGGTCTCTGTAACTTTTGACTGAAATGGAAAAAACTTGTTTCTCTTAATTACTCTTCCTCCCCCTCTCCCTCCTCTTCCTCCTTCTCCCCCTCCTCCCTCCTTCTTCTTCCTCCCCCTTCTTCCTCCTCTTCCTCCCTTTCTTCGTTCTCCTCCTCCCCCTCTTCTTCCTGTTCCTCCTTCCCCCCTCCTCCTCTTCTTCCTCTTCCCCCTCCTCCTCCTTCCTTCTTCTTCTTCCTCCCCCTTTTCCTCCCCCTTCTTCCTCCTCTTCCTCCCTTTCTTCTTTCTCCTCCTCCCCCTCTTCTTCCTGTTCCTCCTCCTCCTCCTCCTCCTCCTCTTCCTCCTCCTCCTCCTCGGCTCTTCCTCCTCCTCCTCTCCTCCTTTCTCCCCCATCTGCCTCTGTCACTGTCTCTGTCTCTCCTCATACCACTATAAATTTATTTCTCTAAACCTTGTTCACATTATCGGAGTAACCACCACACCCATCCCAGGCATTTTGCTTCTGTCTTCCTTCTGCACTTTTCTTCAGACAGTCTCATGTGTTTCTGAGAAAATTATAAGGGGGAGGGAAACCTGATCATTAAAATAGCTGTCATTCATTGGTCAGGGAACTCCAACTTTTGGTTATTCCTCTTCCACCTCACCTGCCTCCACACCCACCTAACTCCTTCCTCTTTGGGAACCAAATCTACATATTATTTCTGTCTTTTTTGTCTTTCACTTTATTCTGGTAATGATATTTTCTGTCAGCATTTAAATATATTCACTTGCCCCCCTCAGTCATTCCTTGGAGTTCCATATTTTCACTTTTTAGCTACTCAGCCATACCTCTTATCCCTCCTAGCCAAGCAAGGCACCGGCATTATTAGCACCGATGCCTGGTATCAATAAGTCTTGGACAGATGCATGAATAGATGGATGGAAGAATGATGTCAAGCCACAGAATGCTGATGGTTAGATTGGTAATATGCTTTACCATATTAGTAATATGATTTATTATGGTACATTTCTCTAGTAATTTTGTTCACATCTGTTATCTCAATGGATTGATATAATGTGTCTAGAATATATACATTTTTAAAAAGTTAAGTTATGCTGCTCTTTTCCCTCTATCAATTTAAAACTCCTTTGAAGAAGCTTTCTTTGAGACTTGCTTGGCATAGAATACAAACTGGTGAATATTTCTGAGTTTCGTCCTGTGTCTGATGATAACTTCTTCTGTTTGTTTGGTTGGTTGAATTTTTGAGACAGGGTTTCATATAGCCCAGGATGACCTTAAACCTTATTAAATTTCTGAGAGTGACTTTGAACCTCTGATCCTCCTGTGTCCAACTCCTCAGTACTGGGATTACAGATGTGTACCACTGTGCCTGGCATGATGGTAGCTCTTAATACCTCTCATGGTAGTCACATAACTCTTCATCACTCGTCGCTTACAGGTTTCCAATCACCCAGTCAAGGGTGACATTAGTGGTTTTGCACCTGCCCCTTCCCCAACCCTATAGAACATGCAAAACATGAACAAATTACTGAAATTGCCCGAAAAACCCTGACCTAATATGCCTTCACAGGAATTACAACTATTTGCCCTTTGAGACCAAGAAGCCCTGTGTCTCCTTCCTCAGTTCCTGGGGAGACCAGACCTTCAGGCTGTACTGGTCCAACATGTTGGAGAAAATGGCTGACCTCCTGGTAAGTAGCTTCATAGGAAGATTAGGAAACTGGGGTAAAGAAATTTTTTTCATTCAGTAGAGGGTCTTGACCTCAGTTTAAACCCCACTGGATTGAAGACACTATATTTCATGGCTTCTACCCCGTGGATCCAGAGGAATGAGAATACATTTTGCAAAATTCATGGACTTCAAATCAAGCTACTCAGATTTAAGATCCCTTCCCTGCTTTTTGCTGCTACAGGGCCTAGAGAGAGGCTGATTCCTTCATCTCCAACATGTAGGAGGTTGAAGGTGTTCTTGAAAAATTGTTATGTCCTCCTGGTTTCAACTAGTCCTTTTCTCCTACGCTCACATTTTCTTCCCACTCCATGGGGCTCAAGGGAGGGGCATCCTCTGCTCTCTGTCCACAGGCCTCACCAGATGACTCTTGTCTTAACCTTCCCATTCCACTAGAAACTACACTAGAGAAAGAACAAATTTCTCCTTCTCTTTGCTCTATAATCACACTTGTGTAAAACAAAGTATCCTCCCAAGCTCTGGGATTCTAGACATTTTGGAATTAGACTCTGGAAGCATTCTGAAAAGCCTGGATGAGGTGCAAACAATGTGAAGGCTACAGTAAGTTGGCCTTGCTTCTTCTTCAAAGGTAATAGATACAGTTTATCACTAAGAGTAGTGACAGACAAACAAGAATATTCCCTAGAGGCCATAGTAGCCCTCAATACCAGAGTATAATTCCCTTCTCAGTGTCAGTATCCCTTTAGTCATGGCTAATGTGGTTGAGGTTCTACCCCAAGATGGTAGTGAGGGTGCTTCCTATTGATTTCCTATTTTATAATGAGGAAACTGACTGTAGTGGTATTAGTCAACTAAAAAGCAACAGAGCCTGGATTTGAAACCAGGAAGCCTGAGCCAGATCCCAGATCCTTAGCTATCCCATAGTGCTGCCCGTTCAGACAGTGACGGTAGAAAGAGAGGAGCACAGGACCTCAGGAACCAGGCTTTGGCATGTGGTAGGAAATGCAGCTTTTGTAAATTCTAGCAAAGCAGTGTCAGCATGAACATTTCCCTTTGGACCACATCTTCCTCTGGGCTGCTGAGTAGGATCCTAGAATTTAGGCCCCAAAGGAAAGTTGACACTATTAAGTATATAAGCATAGTAATTTCTCCATACAATCTTCCCTGTTTCCCAACCAAAAAACCAATATACTCAGAAAAATAAATAGCCCTTTAATGCCAGTAGGATTATATTACTATGTAACAATTGACTTAAATAATGGTTTTTATGTATTTTTATAATTATATCTACTTTTTTAAAAATTACAGCAATGGAGACAGCATATACAAGTGCCACATAAACTCAAGCCTGACAAAATCCCAGCATAGATGTGGGAAGTGGGTAGAAAACCAAACCCTACTTGAGGAACTATTGGAAACTGATGGATGCTGGGAGGGGAGAGTCAGTCCCTTTTGAATGAGACTCTTGGCAGGTTAGCCAGGCTCCAGTGGACGGACCCACACTGAAGGACATTTGGAAACACAAATCTGACTCTATAGGCCTTAATATGTATATAATAGAGTACATGAAATTGGGTGGGGAATATTAAGGGTAGATACAGGTAAGGGAGGGTACCTAAATACAATCAAAACATATTGCAAGAAATTCATGAAAACTCAATAAAAAAAGGAAAGAAGAGAATAGATTCAAGTTAACCAAAGTTAACTTTTTCAGAGCAACAAGTACCATAACTAGAAGGAAATATAAAGGATGAAAAATTGATTTTGTCCCAATTGATATTATTGAATTGAACTGAAAACTATTGAATGACAAAATTTATGAACTATTATGATATTGGGTTTCCCACAGGGTGGGTTATACACAATTGGTTAGGTGGGATTGAATCTAGGACACAGTGCATCTAACATCTAGATAGTTCTACCTAAAGAATGAAGGCTCAAACTTACAATGCAGCAGGATTTCCATGTCTAGCACAAGAAAGTGAGGGAACTCTTCCTTCATCTCTAAAACCATAGCAACAAAAATAGGCAAATAATATTTCTGGGATGCTACAATCAATATCTTTACTCCAAGCCTTATAGCTCTATCTTTGTGGTTTGTTTGCAGGAAGAAGGCATAGAAGAAATCAGAGAGTTGGTCAAGATATCAGAGGAAGCACCAGAAGAGAAGATGAAGGCGGTGCTGTGTGACTTCATCGGTCAAAGCAGGTGGGTGACGTCTGCAGAACTGAGCTTAGATGAAATCAGCTTTTAATGACCTCGAGAAATCAACCAGTTTCACAAGCATTCAGGCACTTTACAGTCTTGTATTCATCTCTTTTTATTCAGTAGTTTAACTGCTACTTGTGGGGTAACTGTGGCCTCCTGGAATTTAAATAACTAAAATATAAACTAAGGGGGGGCGGAGATCAAAACAAGCATAGCTACTGCTTAGATTCTTTATGAAATAAGAAAACCGCTTACAGTGTCGGCACCCAGTTGTGTTTGGTAAGTATTCAATAACTATGTGACAATTAGACAGGTAAAGCTATATCAAATGTTACTTAATTGGATTTTTATATAGCACATTAAGAAGACCTAATTAAAGATTCATATTCTAGGTGGCAGATGGTATAATGGAAGATTTAAAAGTAAGATATGGTGACTATTGTTAAGTAACAAATTACCATAAACTCAGTGGCTTGTCACAATTTTACTTTCTCATAGTCTGCCTGTACTGGGAATGCAGGGGCGGCTCAGCTGGGTCCTTGGGCTCAGGACTCCAGTGGGTGACTTGGGCTCATGTCATCATTTAGGCCCAACTAGGAAGGATATACTTCCAAGGTGGAAGTGGCTGTCTACAGCATTTAGTTCTTTGTGGGCTGTTTGATTGAAGACTTCAGTTCTTTGCCAGCTTTTGGATGGAGGCCACCTGCAATCCCTTGCCACTTGGGCCTCTCCAAGCTCTTCTCACAACATGGCAGCTTGTTTCATCAGGGTGAGCGTGCAAGAAGAGTTAGAACACGTCAGCAAGACAGAAACTGCCCTTCTTGACTGAGCAGCTGGCCAACCGAGGCCGCCTCTACAGCAAGGACATGCCATGTAGAGGTGATGGAGCTGCCTACAGCCAACAAGCGGGCTGCATCTGAAAGACACAGAATGTTTGCATGTGTCATATCGGTCATCCCAGTTTTGATGGAGAAACATATTATTCCCCTCATTCCCTGTGAGGCAGGAGATCCTGAGATCCTAACATGTCTACTGGGCCACTCCATCCTGAAGAAAGGGATAGAATTCTCTGTGCCTCTAGAAAAGGCAGGAATGAAGTAACAAAATTCCCACCTTAAAATAAAATCCTCATAGTCCTTGTAAAAATGAACAGAAAATGTAGCTTTACCAGAGTTCCCAAAGAGAATTTCTAGTAAGGTTCCCAGTTGCTACCAGGCAGAGCCCTGATGTGGGGTCTCTCAATGGGCAGTGTGGCATTTAGACTCCTCTTTGTTAGTTCTTTTATAAATGATATTTTTCATCGCAGAAGGACTAAATGTTTGTTGTACGATATGTGTATCTACATTCCATCATTCCATTATGGATATATACATTAGAATATATATATATACGTATATAAAAATTCTATATACATTTTTTCTGCAATCCTACTTTCCAGAGAGAAGAGATTAATTTGACTTCCTGGACTTCTTTCTGTGCCTTTGCAGACACATTATCTCACATGCACATTCCTAAAATACTTTATTTCATCATAATGTTATCATACATTTGTTCAACAGGTTGTTTTTTCATTCAATAATACATCATGGACCTCTTCCTACATGGATGTGTCATAATAAGTTTAATTTGTCCATAATAATATATAAATTGTTCCATTTGTTTTACTGCTATAGTAAATACCCTTTGTAAATATGTTCTTGCAAAAATATCAATTATTCTGAAGGATAACAATTCTAGTGCAATCTTAAATCAAATTAGGCATATGCTTAAATGTGGCTAGGAGCTGTCAAGTAGTCTGTAAGACGTAACCAGTTACTTCCACAACAGCATACATTATCCTGTGCACTCATACTTCCATACACCTCGAGTATTATGCATTTTATAGTGAAGTGGTGCTGATTTTAATTTTTGTGTGAGTTATCACTAAGGACAATATCTTACTTCCTCAAGAGTTTTTTAGCCATTTTCATTTCTTCTTGAATTGCATTCATAGCCTTTATTATTTTCCTATTTAACACATTTTAAATTTCATTTCCAAAATGTTACTATTCAATAAGGTGGAGACATAGATCAGTATTCATTCTAAAATATCTGCTTTATATATAATGTCTCAGGAAACTTGTTGAGTTTATTTGGAACTTATTTAAGTTCCTCTTTTTTTTAATTTGTAAGGCAGAGAAAAACTGTATTATTTTGTGCAGTTTTGTTATGAATTTTGAAAGCAGTTGCAATAGGTATGCACTAAAAGAAAGTGGAATTCATTCATTCTCCCAAACTAACACAAGGTCTTGGTATCACCTTCATTCCCATTTTGTCTCATCGAAAAGTTAGTGTACTGTTGCTTAACCTAAATTAAAAATCTCAGTTCTGTAGCTCCATCTGTTTTCCATTGTACTGCAGAAAGTAGATTTGCAAATCTGTGGAATCATATAAATGGATTTTCACTAAGTAGGCTGTGGAACTGTTATTCTTCTTTTTCAGTGCCTTAATCTCTGATGCAGAAAAGAAACCCAAGATGTTGCACCAAACTGCTTTAGATAAGAAACGACTTACACTCTGTTGGCAGGAGTTGGTATGTGAAAAGCTATTTATATATTGAAAAGAGTTAAGGCATGTGCTTTAAAAATAAACCTCATGGATGACACATAGGTCACAGACTAGCCAAGGATAAGGTCTAAAGAACAGACTTTTCTGTAGTAGACACAGGAATGAGGAGGGAATAGATGCTGAGTATGAAAGGAACGAGTATCTACTGAGGGTTTGCAAGGATGGGCAGGAAATGCCCCAGTCTTACTTCTTATTTGTCTAAATTTCTCTTGTTTATTTCTTGACATTTGCATTTTGTTAAAACAGTGCTAGACTCTTTGACTTGGATGTCTACCACATAAGCCAAGAAGCCCAAAGAAATAACTCTCGGATTTCCCCAGCGAGAATTCTGTTAAGAGTTGCCAGAACTTCCTGAGAGTGGGGCAGCCACGGACACCCCTCTGTGTCCTGTGGACCAGTGCCATGCTTGTAGATGCTCAATCCTTGTGGAATGAGTGGATGACTAAGAAAGGCCTGATCAATTCAGACCCTGAAATATCTCATCCTGAAGCTTCAGCTCCAGCAATGGCACCGAGAGATGTCTGTGTGATATCACAATACTTCTGCAAAGAAAAATCATCCAGCGTTTGTTCTTTTCAGGGAAAATTTTAAGATATGAGCAGGACACAGAAAAATTAAATGACTTTTTAAAAGATCACAACTGGTTACTCCAAGTCCAGAGATTAGAATATAAAGCTCCTTAACTGCTCAATGGTCTTCTTCTTTTTGGTCCTCCTGTCTTTCTCAGCTGGTTCTTCCTCAGCTCCTCTAGCTGAGGTTCTGTCTATACCATCCATTCTCTCTGTCTACCTGTTGCCCATCAGTCCTGGGCCAAAACAAGCCCACAGTTCTATCATCTGAGTAGTGGCTCATACTTGCTTTCCTTATCACAGTGACCAAATACTTAACCCAAAGCAACTAATGAGAGGAAAAATTTATGCGGACTCATGGTTTGAAAGGGTAGTGTTCACCATGGCAGGGAAGGTGTGGGAGAGTTGGTGGCTGTGGGAATGTACAGCTGAGCCTTCTTACATCCCAGCAGATCGGGAAACAAAGAGGGGAACATCAGTGCTACATGGGCTTCTTCCTTTTTCTTTTTTTATTCAATCTGGGGTCTCAGCCCAGGGTATGGTGCTACCACATTCAAGGTTGGTCTTCCCCTTACTTAAACCTCTCTAGAAACACTCTCACATACACACTCAAAGGTGTGTCTCATTAATGTCCAAGGTGATTTTTAATTTAATTGTGCTGACAATAGACATTAACCGTCACAGAACTCAGGTCATCTCTAGGTCAATATCCTGCCTCCTAATGAAAATCTCAAATGCTTATATCAGAACACCTTCCACTCAACATCTTCTAGACGCCCATATCTTATCTAACTTTGTTCTGCATCCTGTATTGACAGGAACAGCTATACTTACTGCTCCCACCAGTAGCCTATGTATCAACGCTGACCTTTTACTCCCTCACTTTAAATAGTCAATGCTATTCCAGGTCCTTCTGATATGCCCATTATGACCTACTTTGCTTCTCCAGGCTTGAATCATTGCCTGAACTTGGTTCTTCAGCCCAGACTGCAGTAGCCTTCCTCTAATCTGTCTTCTATACCACAGCCAGAAAGCATTCTAAAACAAAATCCGATCCTTCAGTCATGCTTAATAAATCATCGCAGTCTCTCAATTCATAGAATAAAGTCTAAATTCCCTTTGCCTGATATGTGGCACTGCACGCCATCTAGCATCCCAGCCTTGCCCTTCATCACTCCCTTCCTCTGCATCTGTGTTCCAGCTCTTGGATTCCTGTTGACTATGTATCTGTACATGTGACCATTCCCTTTCTCTGGGCTGTTCTTTTCTTATTGACTGATCAATTTTATTCACATTTTATGACAGATGCCAGATCCTTTATGAAGTCTGACTTTCGCCCTGTCTGAGCCCATGATGCTTTGCACATTTATTTGTATATATTGCTTTCATTTAACAAAAATATCATCGCCTTGAGGAAAGGAAGGATTAGGTTCAACTCCAATCTCAAGTGTTGAATCCCAGCACAGGGCCTGGTAGGCAGCAGGAATTCATTCTTCCAGTCAGCATTTCAAAAGCTTCTTGTGCGCCAGACCCTGGCAAAGTGCTGGTAACACAAAGCTGAAAGCAATTGGTGTTAGTCTTTGAGGAATTCATAAAATGACTGGCTCATTCACTCTATTTGCTTCATACTTTCTGGGTGCCAGCACGTGTGTGTCACTGCTGTGACAGAGTCTCCGACAAAAACTGATAATGCACGGTAAGGACAAGATGGGAAGTCCCTGTCCAAGTGAATTTTACACTGTAGTGGAGAAAACAATCTAGATAGGTAAACAGCAAGCTCATAAAATGGTTGCAGGTTATGATTACGAAGGAAAATTTCCAAATCCACAATGAGAAAAAAATATGGGAAAATGTAATAATATGGTGTCATTTGAATTGAAGTCATGTGGAGTCTAGGAGGAACGTTTGAGCAAGAAAAAGCTCCAAGTGTTCCATCTTAGGGTAGACCAAATTGGCATGCTTTAGATCTCCTGAGGACCCGTGTGCCTGGGGCACAGGGAGTGAGATGGAGTGCTATGTGAAGAAGCAGGGAGTAAGCACAGCCAACTCACAGGGCCCAGAAGGCACTATAAAGAGGCTCCACCCAACCTATAAACATGGGCTGAATGGATGAATACAGTTTGAGAGCTGGAGAGATGGCTCTGAGATTTAGAGTACATACTGCTCTTCCTGAGGACCCAAGTTTTGTTGCCGTCATCCATGTTGGGCAGCTCACAATTGCCTATAACTCTAGCTCTGAGAGGGATCTGATGCCTCTGAGGATGGAGAGAGAGGAGAGAGAGAATTAAATAAAATCTTTAAAATGTTTTCTTTCCTTCCTCCTTTCTGGTTCCCTCCCTTCCTTACCGCCTTCGCTCCCTGCTCTCTCTTTCCTTATTTCTCTGTTCTGACAGAGTCTCATGTTGTCTGGGTTGATCTCAAACTTGCTATGTAGTTGAAGATGACATTGAACTTCTGATCCTCCTGCTTCTACCTCCCAAGTGCTAGGATTACAGGCTTGTACTACCATATCTGGTATATATAAAAATATGTTTAATGTTTAAATCACTCCAATGACTCGGTCTGTTTCTCAGATGACAACTTCTTGGACTGGAACTATGTTCCATACCTCTAAGATGAGAAAGTAAATGTGTTCTAGACTGAGCTGGGGAACAAGCCGATCATTGCAGCTAGGAGCTACGTGACTCTTTTTTCACTTTGAAATAGGAGTATTGGTACCCACCTCATAAGTTCACAAAGAAGCATGATGAAGAATTAGTACAGGAGTTAGAACATTGCCTAGCATAGAGTAATAGCTATAAATTTTAGTTGCCATTGTTACCATTATTATTAGATGGCAGGAAGCCTAGTTCAGATACTGTCTTACAAAGCCATATGACATAGACAAGTTTCTGTCCTTTCTAGGCCTCAGTAGCTCATCTGTCCATGAAAAGAGAGATGGGTGTTCACTTTCTGAATTTCTGTTAAATGGATAGTGTGTACAGTGATGGACCCAGAAACGGTCCTTGTGAGGGGCTTACTGTGGAACTAACAGACACCCCAGCAACAGGGCAGTGTTTGTTGCCCAGATATCTAGAAAGATCTATAGTGATTCTTGCCTTTTTTTTTTTTTAAGGACGCAATGGCTAAGGAGGCCAAAGGGATCATTCAGCAACAGAAGAAAAAGTTATCTCTCGATGAAATGATCCATGAAGCCCAAAACTTTGTGGAGAAAATTCGATTCCTTGTGGATGAGGTAATCAACCGTATAAGCAAAGCTCCTTGGGAAGATTAGACAGAAATCTTCTTAGAGCAAGTGGATGAGCAAACTAAGCTTTCTGCTTAGGCATGGGCGATTTTTAAATCAAGCCAAACATACCTGGCCATGCTGATTTTTCATAAAGCCTGAGCGCTCAACAGAATAAAAAGCAAACTCTAGAAATTCAAGGAAAGTCAAAACGGGCACTTTGATTGTGGGAACATTGATAGGTTTTTCAACTATAAGAGAATTTAAACTCATGTTCAGTAAAGGTCAAACAGCAGCATCACTTTAAGGTTAGTTATAAACAGTGTTTTATGGCGTTTTCAGAGTGATTTTTAAAAGGCCGTTGTGTCTGCTTCTGTCACAAACTGAAGCTTTCTTGAAACCTCCAGCTGTGGAGAGACTTCTTAAACTGGGTTTGGGGAGAGGATTGAGGAGACATACAGATTTACTGCTTTCTTGACTCTTGAGAGTTGCAGTTCTCTCTCAAATCTGTTGTTCTCTGGAATCATATTAAGCAGTGAGACAGGTAACATTCAACACCACACATGAGAATGTTGTGAAGAATGTAGAAGGCATTGGGTCTTCCTGTCTGGAACTGACTAATTCTGGGTCAGGAAAACCAGCCTATATTTTTTGGTCTCATATCAGAGAGAAGAAACAGATATCCCGTTTGGGAACCAAACGTATGTGAGTGTCAGAGGTGAGCAAGATAGAGCATCTGCTTCCAGCCTAGCCGTGTCACAGTCAGCTTCACAGCTGTATGCTGCCTGTTGTTCTGGTAGTTACATTGGTTCAGAAATGTGCATTTCAAACACAAGACAGTAGAACACTTGGTATGGAAATCTGCACTTTCTGTGTTGAATAGCTCAACTTTAAAGTCTAAATTTCTGTGCAATTTTAGTGGAATTTCTCTTGAATAACTAACTGAAGTGGAAGTAAGATATTTAGCAATTCTATTTTATAGATAGTGCTACTGTAGATTTGTTTTATCTTAAAGGCAAGTAGAAAGTCATTCAAAGACATTTGTGTATTTTTGTTCTTATTTTTTTCATTTGAACATTCTGGAAATGTTACCTAGTTCTAAAAATGTCTAATGCTTTGAATCCATAGAAAGCTGTAGAAAACTATTCCTCCAACATATGGAGAAAAGTAAGTCATCAAAGACACCAAATCACAGGTCCAGTAAGCACATGGAGTTTGGCATGTGGGATTCACATGCACTCCTAACTCATGACCCAAACATTTTCTTCTCAAGGAGGTGACAGGTGACATATCACTTGTTTGATTGTGCACATATTTAAACACTTAGGTGGCTTAAAGCACAGATGCTGTTTTCAGAAGAGGGACTCTCTCAGGAGAGGTAAACTCTAGAACAGCACTTGTAAAACATCAGCCTAGCCAATGGTATTTTCTCCACTGAGCAGCCGCAGCACACGATCCCAGATGTCTTCATTTGGATGCTCAGCAACAACAAGAGAGTGGCGTATGGTCGTATCCCAGCCAAAGACCTGCTCTACGCCCCCATCAGAGAGCAGATGGGCAAGCACTGCGGGAAGATCAAAACCCACTTTCTCAAGGTAAGTCTGTACTGCTTTCCACTAAAAGAAGGGAAAGTTCTCTCTATTCTGGTATCTCAGAATTGCTACTGTGCATCAAGGTCTGCAAAGTCAGTGCTTTCAGAAGCAGAGGACCACTGTACACTTCGTGCCTTTCAACCCAAATTTCCGTTCAGCAGTCCTTCCAGTTTTCCAATTGTGTGTTAAGATACACGGACATTCCTTTTTAACCTAATGACTATTCCTCAAGGTTAAGTTCTTATTCCTTTGATTATTGATTTGATTACTCCTTTAAATCCTTGCCTGTTAGTTCCTTATGGTCTTTTCTCTGTGTAATTTGTCCATGGTGTCTTTTCACATGTTTATGTACATTTTTAAAATGAACTCCATTGATACATACAATTAACTTATTTTAAAAAATTCAAGCCTGCAATCCCAGATACTTAGGAGGCTGAGCAGTTCAAGGCCAGCCTGGGTTCCAGAGTGAGTTCAAGGCGAGTTTGAGCAACTTAATGAGACATTGGCTTAAAATTTTCTGAATAAGTTAACCAGGCCCGAGTGGAAGGACCTGACTGAGGGGCATTTGGGGACACAAATTTGACTAAAGGTCAAATGTTACACACACACACACACACACACACACACACACACACACATATCGAAGGTCAAATGTTACACACACACACACACACACACACACACACACACACATATCCACACATATTTGTGTGTATTAGAGTACATGAAATCAGATGGGAGCATTAACGGGATACAGATAAGGGAGGGGTCTAAATATAATAAAAATATAATGTATGAAATTTGTAAAAATTCAATAAAAATGAAAAGAACAAGTAATGAGAGGGCAGAGGATATACAGCTCAGCAATGGAGAGCTTGCCTAGTACACGAAAGACCCTAAGTTCAACCCCTAGTACTGAAAAGAAGAAGAAGAAAGCATATTCTTTTTATAAGGGTATCAGTCATTGTGGATCTAGGAACCATCCCACTCCAGTACAGTCAGCTTAGCTAATTACATCTGTACCAACTCTATATCCAAATAGGGTAACATTCTGAGTACTGAAGATTAAGAACTTCAACATATGAACTTTGGAGGAGCATAATTCAACTCGTAACAGAATTGTGGGCCAATGTTTACAGTCTGTATGATCTTGGGCAAGTTGCTTAACAGTCTTCATCGGTTTGAAGAATGTTTATCCCATTTTTCATCTATTACATGGAGACAGTTGTGAGGATTAAGTGAACAAATTTAAGCAAAGAACCCAAAATTGTGCTCACTCAGAGTAATCACTCAATAAATACTAGCATTCAAACAACTGGATATCCAATATCCCAGAAAACATTATCTCCTTTGGAACCAGTCAATTGTTTGTGACTACGGTGCTTAATCTTTCATGTGCAACTTGACTGGATTCAGGGTCACCTAGAAGACACAGATATGGGTGTGTCTGTAAGGGAGATTTTAGAACAATTTAACTGAAGTGAAAGGCCACGCTGAATGTTGGTGGCACCATCTCATGGGCTCGGATCTTGGACTAAATAAAAAGGGAAAGGGAGAAGCCAGCATTCCATCTCTCTGCCTTCTAATTATGGATACAACATGACCAGTCACTTCACCCTCCTACCACCATGCCTTCATCCCATGAGCAACTGCATCTTCCCTTAAACCATGAACTTTAAAATAAATCCTTCTGGGGCTGGAGAGATGGCTCAGTGGTTGAGAACAATGACTGTTCTTACAGAAGAGCCGGGTTCGAATCCCAGCATGGGATGGCAGCTAACAACTATCCATAACTCCAGTTCCAGGGGATCCGACAGCCTCTTATGTCCTCCACGGGCATTGCAGGATACAGGTGCACTTACCTACATTCAGGCATAACACTCATACACATAAAATATAAATAATAAATAAAATATTAAAAAAATAAAATAAATCCTTCCGTCCTGAAGTTACTTTTGTTAGGTGTTTGGTCACAGCAGTAAGGAAAGTCCTAGTACAGTAGCTCCACTTATTTCTTTCTGCCATGATTGTAAAATAATTTAAAACTCACTCTTACAAAACTGTAACTGAAAAGTGACTTTTTTACCCAAATCATTCGTCCCAAATATCATAGACTTTTAACTTTCTCCATTGAAAGAGTGCTACAGAAGCAAGAAAGGTTGGTCTTAAAATAGCAAATCATTTCAAAAGGCCATGAGCTAAAAATACTAGAAAATGGTATAAAGTTACTCTCTCCTAAATGTTTTGATATATCCTGGCGCTATATAAAATTAGAACAAAGAACAGCTGTCAAATAAAGTCAGGGCTAGATGTAACTGAGAATAGGGAATGTTTTGCCCTGTGGCATTCATCCTACACGTATTGCCTTTATCAATATGTTTGTGCCCTTTGCTTCCTTCTGTATCTGCATTTTCCCTTTGCCAGTTTACCATTGCACATGATGATAGCTTTCTAAATCCCCCTGAATTCAGTTACACCTATGTGTGATGAGACATCTTATTAAGATGATTCAGAAAAACTATTTTCATTCCTGATTTGATTGTCACCTTTGATTTTAACTCCTTCCCACTCACTACCTCCCTTTCTGCTCCTTTCTCCTCCCTAACATGTTAAGTCTGAAAAAGCGAAAGGAGAGCCAGTCTTGCCACACTTGCCACTCATACTGTGTTCCTAGAGGAGAAACCGGAAGTTGAAATAAAAAGCTTAGAATATAAATCTCCAAACTCTCTAAGCCAGAAATTCCTCAAAGTTTATGCTATGGTACAGACGTCGGCTGAATGGCTCTGTAAACATCCCATGTTCAAAGATCTGTAGGAGGTTGTACTTGTCACACTAGAAAGTCTTGGAGTTTTACAGTGTCTGTGAGCCAGAAGACTCACTCTGTAGTCAGGAAACACCCTGGACACTGAAACCTGTTTGTCTAGCTTATTCCTTCAGAATACCTATTCATAATTGTATTAGTTACCTCACCCATTGCTACATCAGAATGCCCCACAGAAGCGACCTAATGGACAAAGGGTTTTTTGGGCTCCTAGTTTAAGGAGTCTCAAGCTTTCATGGTTGGGAAGGCATGGTGGTTAGAGTAGGTCAGTTTGTAGCAACAGGAGCTTGTAGTAGAGGCTGCTCACAGGGCACCAAGCAGGAAGCAGAGAGTTTGAGTCATCATCTTCCAGGTCCCTACCCTTTCTGCTAGTTAAGCTATAGTCCCAAAGGTTCCACTGTCTCCCCAAACAGTGCTACAAGCTGGGAGCCAAGTGTTCAAACACATGAGTCTGAGAGTGATGTTTTACATCCAAAGCACAACAAGTCACTTATTGTCACATGTAGCCACATAGTGGTTGGTCTTTAAATGTGATCAGGGGTTCATGATCTCTGTTGCATGATCTTTCTTTTTCTCTAAATTAAATATATTCCTCATGATGTTACCAAAAAATGGAGCAAAATTTGTAGAACTCAGCCAAACATATTATCCAGAACACCAGAATTCTCCCCTTTCAGTTTCATGTTCACTATGGCCCTGACAGCTAGGAATGAGGCAAAGGTAATTTGAGACCAAAAGGAAACCTTTCCATGAAAAGAGCTGGGTACACCCAGAGCCCTCCCTCCTGCTCCACACTTCCATGTTCCTCCTCCTTCTCTGGATTCTTCCCCTCGATACAGAAGGAAATGGTGCCTGGAAAGCATCCTTTGGGGAATCTGCCCCTGCATAAAACTTCTGCAAAACCTGCAAGCCTTTCCCTTACTACTGAGTAACCATCTCCAACAAAATTGATGTGAATTGCCATCTCCCTCTCCTTTCTCTGAGCAGCCAAGGCATCCCCTCTCTTCTAAGACAGCTAGCATGCACCAGGACCCTGGAGGGAGAGGCTAAGACTTGAGTATTCCCTGTCTCATGAAGTGTTTTTATGTTGGCAAGCATAATTGCTTAGGTACTTTTAATCATTTAATCTCACTTTCTAATCATTTAATCTCACTTTTTAATCATTTTTTTCTCTGGTGTCTTTCATTTTTTCCATACCTTAGTCTCAAAAGGCAAGACCTTGTGGTAGTTGACCTTCTCAGAAGCATCTGAGAGAGAAAGGGAAGTGGGGCAGAGGAGGAAGACAGAGGCAGACATGGGAGGCTGGTGGGGCACATGAAATTGTAAATGATACCTTTCTGCAAGCACCTTGGGAAGTTCTCAAAAAGGCTAGATGGTTGAAGGAGTCAAGCCTAGATGCTTAAAGAAGAGCAATTTCAGTTTATGAATGCTAATAGTTTTTCATTTGTTTGTTTGTAAAACTCACAAGCCATAAACTTTGGGACTGTAGCAGTGATCCTGTGGAATACTTTCACAGGATGTGAGCTGAGTTTTGGTTCTGTGAGTTCACACACACACACACACACACACTTTAATAGAGGAGGGAAAGTAATAATGTTTTCTGTGGTTTTGTTTTGCTTTAAAGAATAAAGAATATCAGACCTGGCTTGGAAGGATGTAGCATAGATTATGAAGAGCCTTGCATCTTAAAGGCTTGAAACTAAGTCTGTAGACCAGGAGGATCAGCATCCACAGGAAGAAATACAGCATCACAAACTCTACTCTTGAATTGCAGAAGTAGAATTTACATTTTAACTAAATGCCCAGGCAATTCATGTGCACTGGTATACATGTGCACTCCTCACACACAGCAGTGTGTGAGGAGCAGAGTCTGGGCCCTATAGCCAGACAGAGCTGGGTTTGAGTGTTGTGTCTAATCCTATCTTGCTCTGTGACATTGGACAATCATGTTAATATCCCTGTAATTATAGGGATATTTCTAAAATATATTCAATAAAATATCAGAAGTTTTATGAGATTGAATGAAACTATGGTTTGTTGACAACAGGTGACAGAACACGCCACATAAAGAAACGTTAGAGCAGGGTCCACAGATGTGTAAGTACTCAAGTGTCAAATATTATTATTGGGAATAACAATGTTTATTCAAGAAATATTTGCTGGATTCTTCTGGGATGCCAGACACTCCCTTTTAAGCACTAGGATCATTACTGTGAAGCACTAAACAAAATATCTGCCTTTGTGAATTGACATCTTGGCGATAACTACAAATAATACAGGGAAACAAATAGCTGAGGGAAAGCTTTCATTACAACAACAAAAACACATGTCCTCTCGCTCCCTCTCTCCCTCCCTCCCTCTCCACCTCCCTCCCTCTGTGCTGGAGATCAAACCTAGGGCCTTGTGGATGCTTGCCAAGTGCTCTACTACTGAACTACATACTCAGTCTTCTCAACAAATACTTACTGAAAAAGTTATCAAACTATTCTAGTGATTATCAAAGAAAGGTGATAAATGAAACATTATCTTATTACAATTTTGAAGATTATAGATTGTAGAGTAGTTGCCTTTACCCCAAACAAAATGATCTTATTTGATATATTTTTACCTGAAAGATGCTAAAGGCAGTATCTGTTTTTCTAAGTATTAAATCCTAACTTCTCTGTAGACCAGTCAGGATCCTTGCATCTCACTGAGTCCCATTTTCACTGGTATGACCTCCTTGCCTGAAAGCTCTCTGACTCTCTGAACCATTCCTGGCACAGTGTAAGAACTCACTGAAAATTAGCTCCTATATCCAGATCTGTGCTCAAGTTCTTTCCTCCTTCTAGGATGCCCTGTGAGCTGGTCCAACTCCAGGGTACTGACTAAAGCTCAGCTAAATATGGTAATGCCTTCTTATCTGTAGGGGTGCATTCCAGGACGCCCAGTGGGTACCTGATTTTCAGTTATGATATAGATGTTGGTTTTCCCTATATATACAGACCTATGACAAAATTTAATTTACAAATTAGAGATTCATATCAACAACTAATAATAAAATTGAATAATTATAACAATGTATTGTGATAAAGGTCACTAATTATTTATTTCTGAAACTTCCCATTTAATCATTTTAGACCATGAGTAACTGAAACTGCAGAAAGGAAAGTAGAAGCTAAGAACAAGGAAGATGCTATATTTGAATCTTTTTAAAAATTTATTTTCATTTTATGTGTTTTGCCTACACATATGTAAGTGCACTTGTGTCATGCAATGCCCACGGAGACCAAAAGAGGGCATCAGACCCCTGGAACTGGAGTTATGGATGGTTGTTAGCTGCCTGTGTGTGCTGGGAAATGAACCCGAGTCCTCTGGAAGAGCAGCCAGTGCTCTTAACTGTTGAGCCATCTCTCCAGCCTCAAAGGGATGTATCCGAATCTTAAAGAAAGCATGAGAACACCTGTTGCTCCTTCTCTGTCCCTTGTAAATTCTCTTTTTCTCATTTGTGTTAGCTACTTTCTTATTTGTGGTTACTTTCTGTAACCAAATACCTGAAAAGAAGCAACTTAAGAGAAGGAAAGTTCCTTTTGGCTCATGGTTTGAGAGCTTACAGTCTACCCTGACAGAGAAGGCAGGGTGGAAGAGTGTGAGGTACTGGTCATGTTGTATCCACAGTCAGGAAGAAGAGAGACATGAATTCTGGCACTTGGCTCATTTCTTCCTTTTTCTCTTCTTATTCAATCTGGGATCCAAGTCCTTGGAATGGTGACACCCACATTCAGGGTATATCTGACCCTCCCTCCACATAGTCAATCCTGTCTATAAACACCCTCACAGAAACCCCAAAGGTATGCCTCACAAATCCATTAGGTCTTTATTAATCCAAATCAATTGATTTATTTAGGCTGTGTCTCAGTATCTGTGACGAACCCCTGGTCCTAGTCCCTTGGCTAATACCCAGCAGCACTTGCAGTGGTTGCTAAATTGAGTTGTTCTAAATCTGCTTAGGGAACTCAAGCTAAAAAGGTAAACAACCTTGCTTGATTTGGGGTCAGAGGCTCTCCACAGGTGCTTTGGAAGTTGTCAATGCAAGTTCTGGCTTTTGGTAATAGGGTTTTGTGATCCTCTATGGAAAGAAAGTGGTGTAGGAGAAAGAAGTTACTGATAGGAAATTCCACAGCCTACCATGAAGAGGCACTTAGAAGAGTTGACAAAATCCAGACTGGCAGCAACGTCTCAAGTGCTATCAGCTCCACTCAGAATGATGGTCTTGTTAGCAGTCCTGAGCACAGCCACAGCTGGGACCTGAGAGTATGCAGGTGGGGACAGAGAGAACCCCAAACCTGTGACCAGGAATTCAATTGAATGCATTGAGCTATGTTCTTAAGATCTTGAGGTATGCGTACCTCCACACATACATGTACACACACATACATGCACCCACACACTCCCTGCTCTAATCACAACACACACACACACACACACACACACACACACACACACACACTACCTGAGCCATCACAAGGAAAGGAGGCATGGAGGTTAGAGCCACACTGCCTGAGGAATGACTGAAGGAAGGGTAAGTGCTGGGTATGAAGGGCCTGGGAGAGCAGCAGGACCTTCACACAGAAGTAAAAGGTAGGGAAGAGGCACAGAGCTCTTCTTAATGAAGCAACGGGACAGAAACTCAGGTCAGAGCCCTAGTAGCTGAAGTTCCAGGAAGGCAAGGGGAGTCGATGAGCATGATGGAGGCAGACTCTTTGTGGGCTCAGAGCTAAGAGTCTAGATTGGAATCATCCCTTCCAGGCTCTGGTCCTGTCCTGTCACTTAAAGACTAAGGGATTTAGTTTCATCTGTCTGAGTCTAATTTTCCTCACCTTTGAAATAGAGATAATAATGCATACCTGTTAGGCCTAAGTGACCCAGGGTTTGAAAGAACTTATCATAATGTATGTTTAACCTTCGGGCCTCCAAAACCTGGGTCCTCCTCTGAAATTGTGCACTGTGGTCATCAGGGCCATTTCTCTCAATTCTGTGACACAAGCAGAGCCCTTGGGAATGATTCTCTGGACAAACCTAGATATGTGTCTCCAGGAAGGCTGTCTTCTCAGAGCAGGGCCCATGCTTGCATCCTGGTAATAAAACAGGCTTCCTTGTCCCCTTTCCAAGCTCCCTGGGAAACGGCCTGCTGGCTGGTCAGTACAGGCAAAAGTTGATGTATACCTGTGGCTGGGCTCCACCAGATACTCCAGCACCATTTTGGACAACTTGCCAGCAGGCTATGAAGCAGAAATGCCCTCCAAAATGTCTGGTGCCTACCATCCTCCATCTACCCTGCTGTACCAAGGTATGGTGCCCATTGGGCAAAAGGGGGCAGGAGACATGTCTGGTGGGCTTTAGATCAGCAATGATGGGGACAGAACGTATGCATTTGTATGTTATTTTATTTAGGGCCAACTTCATTGCCTTCTTTATTACAATTACTAAGTGCTGCTCCTCCTTACCTCCCAGTGTTCCATTTAGAAGTATAAAGTGAAATCACCAGATCTACTTGGAATAAATACTTTGCTTTTCTATGAGTTGGGAAAAAACATGAATTTCTTTGTAGGTAGATTGTATTGGTTTACCTTACATTTTAAGAAGAAAGTTCTTGTGTTGATATGATTTATAAAACTAAGGTGTATTTTTTTCCTTTTTACATGGCATCGAGGTTTGAACTTATTACATAATCTAGCAGTGACCCAGTACAGATTAGTATTGTTGGGGTCACTCATGCTTCTCCAGTGTGGTTTCTGTCTTGCCTGATCATAGAAAGGTAGCATGCTTTATGGAATTATTTCTTCTACACAGTTATCTTTATCAGTATTATTGTGTTTAGAGTTTAATACAAATTTGAGTTGTACTATGAATGTTAATGTATTATTATTGCATTCTACTCTGTTTTCAAATCACTTTAACTTTATAATTTTTACCTGCTGAAATTCAGACAAAGAAGATTGAAGGTTTACCTTTACTTTTATTGAAGCTGAGTTTAAAACTGAGCCAAAGCTATGAACACTGGAGAACTGCAGTCACACCCAGGTGCCCTCTGTTTTGTGACATCCTCTGGTGCCAGTTGACCTCAATAGTCAGAGGATTCCAAGAAGCAAAATTTTCAGAGAAGACAGGATTCTGGAGACATGAATACAGTGATTTAGCTCATGGTGTCTGTGCTCAATATCAACACACAAGTGCATCATCCTTGAGAAAATGTACAGTGCTTACAAAATGCCAAGCATTGTGCTACATGTGCTATACCTAAGCTCCTATTTATTTCTCACATCGACCCTGGGAGCTTTCTTTAGTTGACAGACGGGGAGATGTATCTGAGAACCAGAAATTGCCCAAGATCACACAGTTACTAAAGGGTTAGAAAAACCATCTCCAAACACTACTTTCCTACCTGTTTTCCATTCAACCATTGAGAGTTTTTGTCTTTGGGCAAATAATAGCCTCATCAAGTTACCTACCTATTTCTATAGACACTGACCATCTGCACAGAACCAAAGACCTAGATGTGCTCACTGTTCCAGCTACCAGTGATTGAGAGGAGAGAAGGGAGTTTTCTGGGCTCTGAGGTCTTCCACAGCATGTTGTTTTCATGGAGTGGCCTAATAAACGTTTTACTGAGCACTGACATCGATGGTGTTGGCTGCCTTCCACAACGACTGAATTTTATGCTCCAGAGAATATCCATTCAGCAAATAATGATTTTGCATCTATATATAGAAGGCATGGTGGGGGTTATAGAGATGAACAAGAGGTGATCCTGGCCTCAAGTGAAACATCCAGACATGCTTCTAATAATCACAGGGGACAGGAGATGGGCCACCACAGCATGAGGAGGCTGGCTAGATTATTCCAATGAACAAAACTGGTAAGACTCAAGGTTTCAAAGAAACACGAACTGTAGTCCAAGCAAATGGCGCCCCCTACAGTTGTGCAGTGTGCTGCTTCTGTTGCTTCAAATGGGAGCTCTGCTAAAATTTCTGGGTGAATCATTTCAAGGGCAGCTGGTAGGCATTCTCAAGGGATGAAACATTCCCAAGTTGGCTGAGAAATCTGCTGAACTATGTGATATGTGAAGTCACATATGGCTGTCTCCCAGCTGATCTTGTCAGTATGTCCCTGTGACATCTGCTGCACGTTGTTTTGTTTACTGCTGTCAGTTTAAGGGACTCGCTTGTCAACGGGGCCCAGTCTGCCAACATTAGGATTTATTGGTGTTTGTGGAGAGGGGGAGGCTTTAGAATTGAGACCCAAAGAATCACTTTCCTCATTTCCTTGACTTGATCAGAGCTTGGAGAGCCTTTCACTGTGAGGATTTGACTTAATGGGCAATGTGCAGAGCTCAAGTTTCCAAATCCTTTGCAGGATTAGGATGAAGACTGAGAAAGTTGCTATATTCTTAAGCTCCATGCTGGTCCCCACATAAGCCAGGCAGTGGCATGGGGTAGAAAGACAGAAATTGTGTGCAGGCCTCATGACGATCAAGTAAAGAATTGTTTTTAGCACCCCTGTTTTCTGTCAGGGTCAAGTCTGTACCATCCACATCTGGGGCTACAAGGCCTTTCCTATCAGTCATTTTAATCACTCTACCAGTAGAGTGACCTGGCCCTTCAAACTCCCACTTAGAGGGAGTGCTGTTGTCTCCTTCTCTCCCTCCCTAACATTTCTTCTGACAATTGTGAGCCTGACTTTTGGTCTTACCCTCCTGGTGTTTTACTTTGATATCCTCTGGTCCTGCACATGTATGTGCACATGCACACACACACACACACACACAGAGAGAGAGAGAGAGAGAGAGAGAGAGAGAGAGAGAGAGAGAGAGAGAACACTTCAAGAGTTCCCTGTGGCCTGCTTCACTAGATTCCAATAATGCTTCATTCATTTCTCCAAGGTCCTTGGTCAAGTGACCACCACTATCTATGACCTTATACTTCCAGACAAAATAGCCAATATCCTTGCCCCACATAGCCTTATGTTTCCGATTTTTTAAAAATTGACTTACTATTTTAAATTGATCTTATAGCCTTGCTACAACCACCTGAGGCACATGTCCCTGGCTATCAAATGCTACCATCCTGAAGGGTTCTACTCAAAGGATAGTCACCTCTACCAAAATCTTCTCCTCTGTATTTGAATGTGCTTTGATGACTGTGAATTATCCTTAATCTTACCATAATCTTATTTCATACGAACAATTTACTGCCTTTCTTGGGTTATATTGCTTTTTCCACTAACTATTAGATTCCACAAATTCCTCTGTTTTGAACAGTTCGAATCTGTTGCTTCTAATTGCTTAATCAAGCCCCCTAGCATTTCTCTTTTTAAAAATATTTTATTTCTTATTCTTATTTTATGTGTATGAGTTTATTGCCTGCATGCATGTATGTGCACCTGTGTCATGCAATGCCTGAGGAGGTCAGAAGAGGGTGTTGGATTCCCTGGAACTGGATTTATAGATAGTTGTTAGCTGCCATGTGGGTGCTGGGAATCAAACCCAGGTCCTCTGCATGTATGTGCACCCAGTGCTCTTAACAGCTGAGCCATCTTTCCAGCTCCCCTGACATTTCTCTTGATGGGTACCCAGGTTGCTTCTAGCTTCCAGCTGCTCGCCACCAGGGGTAATATTTCAACAAGCAAGAGGAATAGAACTCTAGCATCTTCACGCCTCTTTCCATGTGCCAGGCACCACTGTCAGCTACTCAGAGCCCTGTAATCACCCCATGAGGAACTGTTGTTATCACCATTGTACAACAAGGAAATGAAGGTGCAGAGAGTCAGTAGCTCTGTACAAGTTCCCACGAGGACATGTGTGATTTATGTCTATGGCATGGTGAAGGTGGGAGGATTTGTGACCTTCATTTAACAAAGCAGAATATTTCAGTGGATATGCAAGGGTTCCTACATAACAGTCCCCATGTCAACACAGAGACATGGACATACACTAACACAGTGCCTCAGAGAGACAGTGTAAAGGGGATGGGTAAGGAGGTGAAAGGGACTGAGGAAATAAGAAATAAGAGGTGCCCGGGAAAAGCTGTTGGTTGTGAAGTCCCATCAACCAAAGAATACGACCACTAAACTGTCTTTGAGGTTCCCTGCTAAATGTCAATCTTCTTCGACCTGCATCTCATTCTCTGCTTCTCGTCCTAGCAAACACATGCTCGTTCCTGCCCTTTACCTCCCATGTCCTTTGCTCAGCTCTCTCACAGGCATTCAGCCTCACTCTTCCCAGCCCTGTGCTCTGGGTGCTTGTATTAATCTGCCTTTGTCAGGGAGGTCCCTAAGGGCAGGGACTGTCTATATTCCTCCTTAGAGGATTGTACCTTAGAGACCAAGACCAAGATTGATAGCAGACACTCAGAATGTCATTGGCTAGCAGAATAGATGAATGAATGACTCAACAAATTTATTGAGTTTATTGAATTAAAAGCTATTTGTGAAGCAGCCCCTTATACCTGTGCATGTGCATACACACACACACACACACACACACACACACACACACACAAAAAAAAATGTAGATTCCTAAAGAATTACATTACTCTAAGTCTGCTAAAATGTTATATTTTAGATAAAGAAGTGGAGTTTTGAATCAGGCAGCAATAAAATCTAGGCTCTGCACACTTGGGAAAGTGTTTCATTCATTTTGTGTGTCATTTTCTTCATTTATATAATGGAAAGATAATTACAGATTGAGACACAATGTGGTGAAAGCCCCAGGGCAGTGTGTGATTCTGAAGTACTCTGCACCAGCACCCCGTCCCTGTCTTCATGTTTCCACCCAGTCATGGAGGAGGGCAGGACTGTGTCACCTTTGTCTGTCTGTGAATACATAGCTACATGCCACTTGTAGACACACATTTGCACACACTGTGCCTAAAAGCTTAACGCCTCCCCTTCTCATGACTTCCCCACAGCCCAGCATGTCTTCCAGCTGAGAGCACACATGTATCAAGCCCGGGGCCTCATCGCAGCTGACAGCAATGGACTTTCAGACCCTTTTGCCAAAGTCACATTCCTGTCCCAGTGCCAGACCACAAAGGTAACTGGAGAGCCAGCAGCCTCTTCCCTGCTGCCAAAGCTGACATGCAGTAGAGCCTAGGAAAGAGGGACCCCTGGGGGTGGGCACTGAGCCTTGGCAAGAAAGACTGGGGGCGCACCACACATACTATGTCTCCTAGTACGCAGGTCTTTCGGACCCAGAAGCCAGTGTAGTCCAGGAAGGACAGGCCAGGAATGTCTATTGGTTACCTGAGAGTCATTGACCTAAAGCAGATGGAGCAAGTCTTGAGACAAAGAAAAGTTGAGAGGAAAGAACAAGAAGGGGATACCTGGCACACCTCAGGCACCTGCAGGAGTGCCCAGCATGGTGAGTGCAGAGCGAATGAGCCAGAGAGAAAACAGCGCAGACCACAGACGTCCCTCCTGAGATTGAGAGCTTGCCATCACTTTGAGGGGGTGGGGTGGGGAGGAAAGTTCTAGTTTGTACTCAGGAAGTTCTAGACTTGGCACTTACCAGCCAGGGAGCCTTGCACACTTCTCCAACCTTTGTGCTTCAACCTCCCTTCTCTGGAGAATGCCACTTGGTGACATGCTGTATTACAAGAGGTGGGCAGATGGCTGTTTCCTCTGCTTCTTCCCTGTCTCACACACTCAGCACACGGTTGGAAAAAGGTGCCTAATCAGCACAAGTCCCATAGGATGTCTTCTCACTAGGTTGTATTCACCAAAGACTTACTTCATCTCTGTGGGAGGAAGAGAAGGTCAGTATAGAATTATCCATCTTAGGGAATTAAGAAACAGAACTGAGGTCACCATCTAGTTTATCTGCTCCTCATCTGCATGTCTCCAAACAAACAACACACTCACTAAACTTCAGTTTTGTCATCTTAAAATAGAGTTGTTGCCAGGAAGCAAAAAGTTAAGTGTATAAATGGCTGGTGAATGGTGGTTATTACTTGACTGATGTCAAGAGGGTCCACATTTTTCTCTAAGACAAACCCTGTTGATGGATTCAACTACATTTTGATTTATGAAGCACAGACCCAGAGTATGATAGGAGACAGCACCACATCTGTGTAGCCAGAGGCTGTTGAGTGCTGGCTCCGGGCTCTAGGAGATGTGAGGAACCAGACCTGTTCCAACATAATGCATGGTACAGGCATGGATGTGGTCTTCTAGGCAGATGGGCTGGCTGTGCTATGGTTAAAAAGCAGGTACAAAGTTATGTAAAGAACCACATGGAGAGATGGGTTCATTCTGCACTGGCGAGAGTAGAGATAGACCTCAGAAGGAAGAAGACTTCATCCTCATTTAGCAACTAATGGAGAGAGATAAGAAAATATCTCCACTGGCAAAGTGTTTGCCACGTAAGCATGAGGAGACTTCATCCTCATTTAGCAACTAATGGAAACCAGAAAGCAGTGAACACCTCTCTTTCCTGGGGTTTGAGGGGCCATCCACAGCACTGAGTTTTGTGGATAAGCCCTGGAGAGATAAGAAAATATCTCCACTGGCAAAGTGTTTGCCACGTAAGCATGAGGACTTGAGCTTGATCCCCATAACCCAAATAAAAAAGCCAGGCATGATGGTGTATACTTGCAATCCTAGCACCGGGGAGACAGGGACAAGCAGATTCTGGGAATCAGACGATCTATCCTGATTGGTAAGCACTAGGCCAATGGGAGAGCTTGTCTCAATAAAAGGTGGATGGCTCCTGAGGAATGACATCCAAAGTTGTCTGTTGGCCTCCACATAGATGTGCGCACACATGCATACATGCATGCCCACACATGTACACCCCCTACAAACATGCACACACAAAACAAAACAACACAACAAAACCCTGGAGCTTGTTCCCCTGGTTTGAATCCAAGCTTTTCCACACATTGGGTACATGATGTTAAGCAAAACTACCTTTGTGCCTCTGTTTCTTTATCTCTGATAGGCATGATAGCAATATATACACTTCCCAAAGTAAAGTATGAAATGCTCAAGACAGCACATAGCTTAAAACAGCTTCTATGTGACTGCTTGCTATGGCTGCTAATGAAATTGCCCACCCAAACAGGTGATGTCTCAGTGTGTGGATCCTGGGGCCTCCTCCACCTGTCTCAACAACTCTGCAATTCCAGGCCCTCTGAGGTGGCCCCAGAGGGAAGTAGGAGCTGAGCAAGTTTACTGGATTGCCATCTAATTATCTCTATTTTTTATTTCCATACAATATCTTGATTTGATTTAGATATCTCAAAGGAACAGATGGATTTTGTTTATCAAGCACTCATCTGTTGAGCCCTAGATTTACCTCTATAGTTTTGCATCAAGTACCTAATTTTTACTAATAATAACAGCTGTCACTTATAAAAAGCTTCCACATGCCAGACACAGTAAGAAACATGTTGCTTTGTTTGCTACCCCTTGGTGTAAGTAGGAGACAAACTGTTATATCCCCTTTCTGGAAATAAGGGGAGGAGGGTCAGAAACTGCACAGTTTGGACATGGTAAAACCAAGATGAAAACCCAAGTTTGTTCCATTCTGAGACCAGCTTGCTTAGCCACTATGCTTCCATTTTGGTGAGAAAGTGTCCAAGGTCCCTCTCCTGCTCCTATGTCATGCTGCCTTGGAGGACCCAGGCTGTGGAAGGCAGACCTCCTTCATGTGTGTCCGGACAGCTGAGTCTGAGGCCCTGCTGGTCCAGATGAGCCCAGTGATCACCAGGTAACACCCATGTGGATATGGTGCTGGTTCTCAGGAGAACGGGCCACCTGGTGCTTGGGAGAACCAGTCTCTGTAAAGTGTCCTGCACACCAGTCCCGTACAAAGTGACTTGATGGTCTGTAATACTTCATAGGGGAATTCAGTTATTATAGACATCACTGAGGCCATGAGGCTTGAAAAGCTTATGACTGAAAGATAAAGAGAAAAGAAAGCTCCTTCAGAGACAGGATTTGGAAACTGATAAGGAGTGGCTCAGGTGGACATGAAGGAGCATGAGATAAAGAGAAGGGTGGAGTGTTGAGCCCAACAATGACACTGATACTTAGTCCTCAGGACAAGTTCACCCAGATTAGATCATTTATGATAGGCATTGAGTATTCATTTTCCATGTGTATATATGATATGCAAGGTGTTAGATCCCAGGCTTGACAAATACCAAGCAAGTACTCACAACTCAACCATGTCCCTAGCCCTGAATGTTGACTCATTTATAAACAACTGTGGACTGGGATGAAGTAGTTGTGTGTGGAGTAGCAAGCGTTTACTGAGCACCTGCTCTATGCCAGGCTGTAAGTGTTCTTTACCTCAGACAAGGTAGGTGCTAGCCCATTGAAAGGAAGGGAACTAAGGTTTGGAGAGGTTAGATCACCCATGTAAGTTGAATATAGGGTAGGTAATAAAACTGTGGTTCTATTCAGAGCTATTTGATTCTAATGCTATATTCTGTCCAGGATATCTGGCTTATTATTCAAAGTGTTAGCTAAGGCTTCCAAATGATGCTCTAAATCCAGTTTAATTCATCGCTCTCTAAGGAAGTCTTTAAGAAACAATATGGTACTTTGGCAAAAGAGTGGGGAGGCTATTTGTTTGAGTGAGCCCTTTAGTGCCACTCTAAAGTGACCAGGTGGCGTTTTGTACATGGGACAACCCTGAGGACAGGTTAATGCTCTCTCATCTATCCATGCAAATGGCCACCAAACAGCCAGCTACGCACAGGAAAGTGTCTAACACACTGTAGGTCCCAAGTAAATTCGTGATGAATAAATGACCTCTGGGATCCTACTAAATGGCATTTACAGCCACGTGGGAAGGAAGTAATCCAAACATTTCTATAGGGAAGGTGCCGTGAAGATCATAAACTGCTTTGACATCACACTGTCAGGCACATGTTTCAGAGAGCTCACATGTCTATTTTCAAGAGCAGCACAAAAAAACTTAGTTCTTTGTGCTGTCAGTCCTGAACACAGGACGACTTTGCACTGTAGCTATATCACTCTTGTTTGTTGGTTGATTGAGCCTCGGTTTTCTTTCTGTCAGAAACTTATATTTCCAAAGAAGCATTTTATTTAAAACTGCATTGTGTCTACAGCACAAAATATTCTAAAATAAAGGGGTAAGAAGGGAAGCAAACCACAGAAGAACAATACTTTTATGACTCACATAAAGAACAATAAATTCTTCTTCTGTGACCACAGTGCAAACAGTTTAATACCATTACTGGAGCTGGATGGCTGAAAACTGAGCTGAGTTTTTATGTGGGCTTTTGAGTCCAAGAGTGAGTCCAGGCCAGTTTTTCCTTCCAGCCCTCCTGGAGTGGACAGTGGTGGGTGAAGTGCAATTCAAATGTACTGTGGGAATTTCCTCATGTCCCAGTGGCTGCTGTCCATGTTCACTTTGTGAAATCACCCATTAGACAGCATATCCTGGAATACAGCTGTGACCATGGATACGTTCAAGACTGGCCTCACCTATTAATGGGGTAGTGTCTGCCCAGGTGCAGGGACCACCAACCCTGCAGACAACTAAACCTTTAGCTCTGTGAAACCAGCCTGTTTCCAAATACCTAAATAAATAGAGAAGAGAATCAGGATCAAATAATACTCTTCCTTCTGAAGGTGCCTCTTGAACAGCCTGGAGAGAGGGCTATGAGCCAATTCTAGTGAGATCCTTATGGTTCTGTACCAATTGTGCAAGCTCTCCTCTTTCCTTGATTTTGATTTTTTTCCATTTGTATGATAGGTGCAACTCACTACCATTGTTTGCTGCCATAGCAACCCCTGTCAAAAAAAGATGTCATGCCAAATGGTGGGCATTGTTCTGAAGACCCTGGCCTATTCAAAGTAGGCAATAAATATCTACAAAACCATAGAATTCTACACGAAGTATATGAGATTTGAAAGTCAACTCCTTGGCATTTGATAGCAAGATTATATTTGCTCATACATGAAGAATCTGTAGACTCCCCCATGCCCAGTTTTCCCATACCTAAAGTAGGGGTGCTAGTAGTATTTACTTGGTGAAAGAGGATGATCCAGGTGGAATTTCATTTCTACCACCTGTGGGCTCTGGACTGGTAAGCTTGTTTCCTGGTCTTTAACATACATGTAAACAACTACCCAGAATTATTGTGAGGTTTGACTGAGACAGTGCATGCACAGTGCAGAAGGTAGTACTCGATAAAGGGCAGCAAAATGCTATTATAACATCAGGGCACATTAAAGTTATTTAAGCAAATAGGACATTAAACAGCACTCTCCTAATAAACCATTATGAATGAAGCTTCTTCAGAAACTGTAACTTTTTCATCTCCCTAGCATTTAATAAACTAACCACTCAGTTTACATAGTCACTCGAATGTTGAATGAGCAAGTCAGGATGGTGGCCATGGCTTCTCTTGGCCCTCCATGTTTCTGCTGAATAACCTAACTGTTCCTTTGGTGCTTTCTTCCAGGTTATTTCCCAGACTCTCTCCCCTACCTGGAACCAGATGCTGCTGTTCAACGAATTGGTTCTGCATGGTGAGGAGATGGAGTTGGTGGAGTCTCCACCCGTGGTGGTGGTGGAACTCTATGACAGTGACGCAGTGGTGAGTGTTGCAGGGCCGGCACTGACTGTGCCTCTTTACAAATGCTCGACTGTATGAACTGACTGTTTGAAAGTCAATAATGTCTTGACCCTGTGAGTGGCCAGTACCCTTAATGTACCCAGATGCAACCTCAGCATGATGATCTAAAGAATCAAGCGCATGCTGGTTTTATTTAGGGTTTGTTCTTTATATTTCCCTTTCAATGATAATCAAAACTGTATCTAATTAGCGAAATGTAGTTAGCACAGGGATGTGATACTTGAATAAACCTACACACAGCTATGCCAGTCGCATAGTATTGCTGTTTAGCAAAATCACCCAGGCCTCTTGGAAATGGGTTTGTACTGCTCTCACTGGCTGGAGGGACATGAATATTGTCACTGATTCAGGCTTTGTATCAGAGATTCAGACTGGATCTCTTTTTTGCTTGGCTGTTGCTTCCAAGCCCTGCGCCAGCATCTACCCTCTTCTGTTATGAACCAAATCTCTTCCTCTCCAGAGATGTTTGTGTTCTGAAACATGAGGTAAACTCAAAATCTGGCTGGAGGATTTAAGTTACTAAGACAAACATTCTTTTCTAAATTAAGAAGTCAAAAATAAATGGCAAAGGTTTGTTTCTTTTATCTAACATCTCTACCTCCTCAGGAAACTCAAATCTATGAACTAGGACAGCTGTTTTGAAAAGCTTTTCTAAAGCCTCCTCACCTTCTAGAGTACTCCTGACAGCCATGAGGTAGGCCAAAGTCAGGAAGGAAACAGGGTACAAGAATCACAGAAGAGTTGTAGGGACCCTGGAGAACATGAAGCCTTGTTACTTCTTTATTGTTTTCCAGAAGGAAAGACAGACCTAGAAACTTCAAAAACCTTCTTTATGGTCATAGTTGGAGGTAGAGTCAGGCCTTGAACCCACGTCTCCTATGCCCACTCTTTCCTGCACACTTGTTGGCAGCCAGTGTGGTAGCCTCCTCTCTACCGGAGCCGGCTGGTTCTTCATGTCACTTCCTTCCTCTGGTCCCCATACCCGCTTTGTAAACTGGGGCTAGATATATGTACTTAGGAAATGTGATTTTTTTTTTCTTTTCAGTATGTAACACAGATTTTTTTTGGAGGAAGAACCACAAGATAAATACCTTTTCAGTCTTGTTCCTAAGAACGTGTTTCCCATTCTATGTGTTTATATTCTATTTGAAGGGGAACCAGACATCTTTGGAAGTTCCTGTTCCCCCAGCCTGGCAGCTGTCTCATTATCTTCAATTTCTGTTCTGGATTCCCACTACAGTGATGGCCTTTCCTGGCCTGACCCTAAATCAAACCTTCCTAGAAAAAAATTAAGTGAATGCTTTCAAATATAAAAGGAAAAGGGGTTGTGGGAGAGAAAGATGATATGAAAGTTTGCACTTTACTTACGGAGAAATTATGTGGAACCATGCAGGGAAGTTTGCTCACGTCCCTGGGCTGCAGCTAACTGGAGTCTAAAATATGGTGATTATCAGATTATTAGAACAGGACTCTGCTGGGCCCATGTTCCAGTCTAAAACATTCTCTAATTTTTCAGTGCTTTGTGTTCCCTTGAGAGCTGGGAGGCTATGTAAGAGATGAGTTTATATATATTGCTTGGGTTTATGCTCATCTTTGTGTTTTCAAGCCCCGTTTGAGTGAGAATGATTAAACTGTTGAGCAGATCAATCATTTTATACCCAGCTGCCCTAACTCATCCATCTTCCCAGAACAGGTCTGACCTCACCAATGGCCACCAGTAGGCAGTTTTGTTTATTTTCAAGTGTGTCGAGCTAAAGTCTTATTTCTACCTCCTTCCCTAGTGGCAAATGTAACTGGCTTGTGAATCTAAAGCCAGTGAAGCAGCTTGGCTACTTAAACCTGATCTAAGGCAAAGTAGAAGATGGGGATTATCCTTAGACTGTGCAAGGCCACCAGCTGACACTCAGCAAATATGCACTGAATGCCTGTCCAGAGCCAGAGGTTGCAGCAGTGAATAAAGCTAGAATCCCCATCTGCATGGAGCTACATTCATATGGTTCCTGACTACTACAGCTCCTGCCTGTCCTGGAGGAGCATGGACCAGACTCCTGCAAGCAGGCAGTGGGAAGAGGCAGCAAGTGGTGCCACCCAGAATATTTGGGTGCTACGGTAGCTGCTCCAGTTGTGACACTAGCTGACCAGGACTATGAGGCCCCCAAGGTTCTTAAACTTGAAGCCCATACATGTACATATACACAAAGATATTTTAATTTTTACTCTTTTTTTACTACCCTTATTGACCTCAGTCATCACTGTCATCATCATTAGCATCAGCTTCCTATTGCCATTTATTGAGGACTTAATCAAAGCGTATATAAGATTACATTACTCTTTATGATGTTATGAACAGACCTCAAACTCAGGTTTTCCCAGCTCCAAAGCTCACAGTGGTACCTGCTCAGGAGACCCCTTTGGAATTTTTGCTGTTACCTTATATTTCCTTTGCCCTTCCAGACTGCCCAGAGTAATTGCTTTAACTTAACTCTTTAGAAGGAAGCTTGGGTCAGGAAAGCCCCAAAGTTGTCCTCTTAGAGTTTCCCTGTGAGCCTGAAAGAACTCATTGCTCCCCAGCCATGAGTGGGACTGGGCAAAAAGATACTTGGCAAAAGAAGATACATGATACAAGAGGAAGATGCTGCTGCTGTTAACTTTGCACCAATCATTTGCAAAATTGTGCTGGCATAGATCAGAACCAAATAGACAACAGTTAGGAAACTCATTTCCTTTATGTTCTAGGGGAAGCCAGAATATTTGGGTGCTACAGTAGCTGCTCCAGTTGTGACACTAGCTGACCAGGACTATGAGCCCCCCAAGCTGTGCTATCACCCCATCTTCTGTGGGAATATCTCTGGAGGGGACCTCCTTGCTGTATTTGAACTGCTGCAGGTAAGAGATCCAGAAGGGTATGCAACCCATGTCTTTCTGCCCTTCTTGGCCCAAGAAGCAGCCTCCCTGATGTTCCATTTCAGCGAAGCCATGCATAGTCCATCTCTGCTATCTTATGCCTGTGGATATCTCCTTCCAGACATCTTGGAGGTGACATTTAAGAACTCAGATAACATGAGTTATTCCCAGAGACCCTGCATTACAAGTCAGAGTTGTAGGATGAAAAATCCTTAAAGGTTTGATTATCAATGCTTGAGATTAGAAGAATCCATGAACCCCATCAAACTATATAAGGATTCAAAAGAAAAAGACAGCAGACATTTGTGGAGTACTTACCATGTACCCAGGGTGTTAGTTACAGTAACACATATCTCTCATCTCTCTAGACCTCCCTCAAGCCTCCCAAAATACATACTACCATTCCCATTTTATAGACAGTAAACTGAAGACTAATGTACTTGACTGACTTAATCTCCTTATGTAGCTTGACAGTGGTTAATCAGAGATCTGAACCTGGACCTTTAATTTTTAAAAAGTTTTCTTTATTTTTATTTTATTTTATGTGGCTGAGTGTATTGCCTGTGTGTATGTAAGTGCGCCAGTGTTGTGAAATGCCCACAGAGGTCAGAAGAGGGTGTCAGATCCCCTGGAGCTGGAGTTATGGATGGTTGTTAGCTGCCATGTGGGTGCTGGGAACTGAACCCAGGTCCTCAGAGAGCAGCCAGTGTTCTTAACCGCTGAGCCATCTCTCCAGCCCCAGGGACCTTTAAATCTTTTATTCCTTACACAATATCTAATAGTTTCCCAAAGTCAAAGAACTCCTAGACTTTCAGGAAGTCCTAGAGGGAATGTATGAGTATGTGTCTAGAAAGACCCTTTAAGAAAGCACATGTAGAATCCTAGGAAGAGAAACCGAGGCTCTGAAGTCTAGCTGCCCAATATAGAACCAGATAGGACTTGAAGAGGACAGAGAGAAAGGGGGAACAGCATGGCTTGCCAGAGAGATTCCTCTCCATGATCTTCCACTCACTGAGACATCAGGGGCCAGTGGTTCTTTACCTTTGGATCAGACTAATCTTTCATCTTAGTCCATGCAGAATGCTGTAACAGAATTCTAAAGACTAAACAACAAACATTTATTTCTCACAGGTAAGGCTGGAGGTCTAAGAGCAAGACACCGATAGATCCAGTATTGGATGAAGGCCCACTTTCTTCTTTGTAGATGGCTGCCTTCTCATCTACATGTGGCCATGAGACAATTTGTCTTTACTTGGGTTGCTTATTATAAGGGGCTTATCATATCCATGAGGGCTCTGGCTTCATGACCCAGTCACCTCTCAAGGACTCTACCTCCGAATACCATTACAGTAGGGTTAGAATTTGACGTTCAGTTTATTGCATCCTCTATAGGAAAACCTGATTTTCAGAAATCCCAATTCAAAACAAAACAAAAGCCTACTTGGTGAGAAAACTGGACAATAAATATTCCCAATATACATAGCATGAATGAGCATTAAGATGGTGGGACTGGGTCCCATGGGGATGATTCTTAGTTATACTACTTGTTAGAATGTGACTCTTTATTTAAAAATGTGCGATGCTAATCAATATACCAAAGTACATTGTATAGAGCAGTCCATAATACTATTTTATTAGTACTAATATTGCTATGCTCTAAGATACAAAATCAGGATGTTTGGTCCCAATTGTTGATTTTAGAGATTGAGCTGGATAGAAAGGCAATGATATGGTCATCATGGCAGGTCAGAAGCTAGACTCCAGGTAGACAGATTTCTATCCAATTCCAGAACATTAATAATTAAGAGAACAGTTTTGGGTTGCACTCACTTGTATTCAAGCCCAATTTCTGTTCCCACCTTCAGCCTGGAAGTTGTAATTAACTATAGTGATGCATGCTTAATTTAAGCCCATCGTATCAGAGACTTTGTCTTCTGAGTTTTGAGTCACTTGAATCATAGAACGGAGGCTTTGTAGAAAGAGTAAGCTCTGTCAGGGAAACTGAATCTGGGTAATCTCGGAGGAATGAAGTAGCAAGAATTCAAGCACTGACTTCAGTTATATAATAGTTGAGACCTAGCAGGGTAAGAGTAGGACTCGAAAGGTCTTTATCTTACAAATGTTAGGTTCTAGGACCCCAGGATGATAAAACAAGTGCACCCCAACAGAACCATCTGTATCTAGAACCATCTGCACCCAGAAGTATGAACTAAAGGAAACCTTCCAAACTAGGCGGTCTAGTCTTTCCTCAGATGAAAGTTAAGATGCTCTGAGGCTGTCAGCAAGCTGTTCTAGATCAGAACCAGGCAAAATGCCAAACAACACTGAATCCAGACAAAGGGAGTTTGCCCATTTCTAGAGACAAGCCTTGTTTGCTGTTCCTCTGTTTGTAATATCACTCTCATCTGACAAAAGAGAACAGGCTTCAGAACCTCCCTTTCCAAAAGAGAACAGGCTTCAGACTAAGTGGCTCCAAGAAAGATTGTTACCTATGAGAACATGTCCCACACTGTGCTTTTTGGAACACCAGCCCTCTAAGTTAGTAAATACAAAAGTTTAAGAATTGGGTCATATTACATATTCCAATAACAATGTTTGCACTAGATTTTTTGTATGTGTATGTGTTGTGGTATGTATGGGTTTGTGTGTGTGTGTGTGTGTCCACATTTGTATGTAAGTTTACATGTGGAGGCCTGAAGTAAATGTCAGGCATCTTCCTTAAATGCTCTCCACTTTATTTTGAAGACAGTCTCTCACTAAACCTGGAGCCAATTTAGCTAGACAAGTTGGACAGCAAGCTCCAGGAATCCTCCTGTCTCTACCTCATCAGTCCTTGAATTACAGGCATGCACTGCCACACCCAGCTTTTTCATGTGGGTGCTGGGAACTGAACCCAGGCACTCATGCTTACATGGCATATTAGTTACTTTTCTGTTGCTGTGATAGAAACGCTGACCAAAGCAACTTATAGAAGGAAGAGTTTATTTGAGCTTATGATTCCAGGGGAATTACAGTCTGTCATATTGGGGAGGCATGGTGTCAGGAGGTGCCTGGAGCAGGAACAGAAAGCAGAGTGCTCACATCTTCAAGCAGGCATAGGACACAAGAGAGTGACTCAAGATCCAGGAAGGCTTAAGAACTCTAAGCCCGCCCCTAGTGACGTGCTTCCTCCAGCATGACCATACCTTCTAAGACCTCCCAAAAAAGTGCCACCAACTGGGGACAAAATGTCCAAATATTTGGACCCTATGAGGGACAGTCTCATTCAAACCACCACAAATGGCAAACACTTTGCTGGCTGTATCATCTCTGCAGTCCCTGATTTTAACTAGTTTTGTTTTAAATTTAGTTTCTGTTTGTGTCAAATGGTACTTACTTTACCTAGCCACATAAAATTTCCTTTTTATAAATTAAACTGTGTTCAATGAGAAAAAACAAGGTTATTAGAGAAGAGAGCCATTGAGGGAGGTGGTGGAGGAATAGCTGACTTGAGCAAACTAAACCTAGCCCAGCACACTGCATATGAGAATGATGAAGTTCAAGGTTAGCCAAATGGAACCAAGCTGCTGCTCTTCCAACCCACAGCTGCCTTCATAAATGCTTGGCCTGAGTCTCAAGACTCCGTCAGTAGGGTTAGACAAGTTGACCCCAAGGGCTCTGCCATCTGGGTCCCACCTCTGTCAGTGGTGAGCTGGGTACACTGATGAGAGACCCTGCAACTTCCCAACATGTCAGTAGGGTTAGACAAGTTGACCTCAAGGGCTCTGCCATCTGGGTCCCACCTCCTGTCAGTGGTGAGCTGGGTACACTGATGAGAGACCCTGCAACTTCCCAACAACTGACTTAATAGACAAGCATTGTTGGAGGCATGAAGCTTATGGATGCAATTCATGAGCATTTCATTAGTATGTCTTCCCATTTGATTATTTGTTCAAAAGCAATTGATCATCAGTATCATTGTCTTAGCATGCAGACCTCAGACCTTCTGAGAGACTGGAACTGGAAACGCCTTCATTTGTCACCAGCTGCTCTCATGTTGTCTATGGATGGCTTACTTTAGCTTTCCTTCCCCTACTGCTGAGACACTCCCCTGACTCAAGCATTAGTGAATGGTTCTTCCATGTACCAGTTAAATCTAGTTGTTCCCTTCCCTTCCCTACACAGCTGCCCCTCTGTCCTCCCAGGCTAGTTCATACCCTGCTGTTGACCCAGACCCTATGGCTGAAATACTCAGAGACAGCCCAATTCTACAATGGTATCTGCATTCCTGGCCTTGCCTGGCCATCCCTATGGATGGTTCCACGCCTTACCATCTTCTCTGCTCCCCTGGACTCTTTTACTTCCCAGCTCAATCTTTCCCCTGTTCACTCCATTCTCCATATTCTAGAAAGCAAGTTGGTCATTCCACACCCCTCTCCAGAAACCCTCAGTTGCTTCCCACTCTTCAGCTTCAAGAATACTCACCAATTTTTGCCTTTTTCAAACACCAGTCCCTCCAAGTATAGTGACCAGAACTTGAAAATGTTTCTTGTGTTTCTCTTGGGGACTTGAAATACCTTTTACCATTGTAAAGGCTCTCAGAATGTTTCAAAATTTCTTTTTCAAAACTTAGCATTTCCAAAATGTGACCAAAAGACCATTTTTGTTTCATGATAACTATTAATATTCCGTGAAGGGACAATCTAGACTGTATGAGAATACCCTGTTCCCATGGCTTGGTTTTTAAACTGTCTCAGTATTTTTCCTCAAATTACTTTCTCAGGCTCGCATATTGTCATCCAACTTTCTCTACAACCACTATGGCCTTTGCCAGGTCACTCTGAGTTTCCAGAGCTCATAAACTTTCTCTTCTGCTCTTAGTCAAGATGGTAACCCATTCCAACATGCCTCCCCACTCTGCCCATCCCAACCCCATTTTGCCTATCTGTGAAAACTATCAAAATTCAGAGCAAGTGATGTCAGCTCCAGGAAGCTTGCCTCCTCCACCTCCATATAAAATGTTGTCTTCTCTTCCATCCTGCTTTTTGCCTTTGTCTATTTCTTCACATGAGGCAATTTAAATGATACTCACTTCCTCCATTACTGTGTCAGTTTCTTGAAGGCAAGGTCTGCCTTGCTCATTGAATCATATATTTAAACATGTATTTATTCAGTGTTTTCTATATGTATTTATATTGTATATATTCAGTGCTTGCAGACAAAACACAGATCTTACTTCTTACTGCCATTATTCTGTTCACCATACCTCTCAACTCCTAGAAATGCCTTCTTACCTTACTCCACATCCCAAGAAGGGGCCATTTCCATCTGGTCACAGGAGTAGTGACCCCAGCATTGTGTTTATAGACCTGCATGGTATGTCTGCCTTCTTAAAGCTAGTCCACTTTCCAATATGCTTTCCCTTAACATCTTGTGAGATTTTTCCATTTAAAATCTTTTAATTTATTTTTATTTTATGTGTATGAATGTTATGCCTGCATGTGTGTAAGTGCACCCGTGTTGTGCAATGCCTACAGAGGACAGAAGAGGGGTATTTGATCCCCTGGAACTGGCATTATAGACAGTTGTTAGCTGCTATATGAGTGCTGAGATTTGAACCCTGGTCTTCTGCAAGAGAAGCCAGTACTCTTAACTGCTGAACCATCTCTCCAGCCCCCAAATATATTTTATTTATTTTATCTTAGGTGTGTGAGTATAGGTGTACCACATGCATGCAATGCCTGCTGAGGCCAGAAAAAGATGTTGTATCCCCTGAAACTCAAGTTAATGACAGTTGTTAGTGTCTATTTGGCTGCTGGGAACCAAACCTAAGTCCTCTGAAAGAGTAGCCCTTGCTCTTAACCTCTAAGCCACCTCTCCAGCCCCCAAGATTTGCGTGTTCTCTCTCTCTCTCTCTCTCTCTCTCTCTCTCTCTGTCTCTCTCTCTCTGTCTCTCTCTCTGTCTCTCTGTCTCTCATTGTTGTTGATCACTTTTAGTCTTTGTCACTTTGGCACAGAACAAGGAAAACCTGTTCCATTCTGGTCTTTAATCTGAATTCCATAGTTTAAAACAGTAAACTGCTCTTCTTCCATGCTTGGAAACTCATTGAATCTTCTTGCTAGAGGTCTAATTAAAATCACTGAATTAGCTTTAGATAACATCTGTGTGTTCTTCCTGTTTTAAAATTATTAATTAATTAATGATCTACTAATCAGTATTTTACAGAAGTTGTTCACCTGAAATAAGCTGGAGGAAGATCAGGGAGACAAGTGGATAGACTCTAATACAGTATTAAGACCTGCTCAGGCCCCAGGAGACTCTTCCAGTCATGAGCTTAATCACAAAGATGACAGTTGCCTCCTCTGGTGGTCAGCATGTCAGGACCTCATGAGCTTGCTGTCTCCATGCTTCTTGGGAGGCGTTGTCTGCAGGGTCACCTCAGTGATCAAATTCAGGCCTGTTTATAGCTTGGCCACACACTTGCTATGTGAACTAGAACCTGGTACATTTCCTCTGGGATCTTTTTAGAACAGGGTTGGTGACAATTTCTTTCAGCATTTTAAAGAGACCATTTCCCTTCTCTTTTAAGAAATTGTATAATTATCTTATTGTTGCTTCTTAAAAAGTGATTTTTCTAAGTTTTTTTTTTCTGATGACCATATTTATGGCTGTGAGATGCCCACTTCTTCTTTCTACATTTCAATTCTTTATTGAAATTCTCCATCATGTCTCTTAATCAAACAGATTAAACACGTTATTACTGTAGTGTTCATGTCTGATGACTAGACTACCCAAATCCCTTGGGATCTGTTTCTTCAGTTGTTGTTTCTCTTGAATTTTAATTACATTGTCCTATCTCCTTACATACCATGTCTTATTGCACAGTGGACATTGTATGTGACAATATGTAGAAGTTGGAGCCCAGGGTGATATTGCTTCCCTCTAAACAACTTAATATTTTTTACTTCTGAGTTATTTAGAGGCCATAGTCATTCCAGAAGCATCTCCATTCAACTAGTGATTAAAAACACCTTGAAGTTGAGCTTTGATCTTTGCAGGGGTCAAGTTCCTTCTTGCCTTCATTCCTAGAGGACTCTATGTGCCAGAAAGCATACAAGTGCTCTACTTGCTGTCTCAACAATTCTTCACAGCAACTCTATGATTTAGATAACATTGTTCTCACTTCACCAATGACAGGACTGAACGTCAGAGACCAGCTCCATACATGACACCTTTTTAAAAGCACATCAAGAGGCTGGAGAGATGATTCGTCGTTAGGGAAGCACTAACCTGTTGTTTTTGTAGAGGACCTGGGTTTCAGTTCCCAACACTCACATGGTGGCTAACAACTCTCTGTGAGTCCAGTTCCAGGGAATCCAATGCCCTCTACTGGCACTGAGGGCACTGCATGCACCTGGTGCACTTACACACATATAGGCAAAACACTCATACACTTAAAAAAATACACAAAATATTTTAAAAGCATACCCAATAATGGTTCCTAGAACCTGGGAAGGGTAGGAGTGAGGGTTGGACTGGGGAAAGATGATTAACATGTGCAGTTGTATTGGAGGAATACTTTCTAGTGTCTTGTAAGACATTTATCCTACTGTGTTATAACACAGTAGGATAAATGTGGTTAGCACAAAGTAAGTAATTCAAAAGAGCTATTAGACAGAATTTTGAATACCCCCCCACAAAGAAATGATAGCTGTCTGAGGTACTAGATACTCCAATTGCCCTAATCTGATGATTGCACCTTATATGTAAAATGATCATACCCTATAAATAAAAATATGCACAATTATTCTGTGTCAAATTAAAATAGAATAAGAAGCATGTCCAGAGGCGGCTCCTTTCTTGCCACTGTTTCAGCTGTTTTTTTCTGTGCTTGGTGCTGGGTTACATAAGGATATTTTCATACACGTTTATCATGCAAATTTGAGCATAGTCACTCATACTTCCCCCCTCCCGTTTTCCTCCACTGCCCCCTCCCATTAGTCCCCTTTGTTTACCTGGACAGTTGCACTTCTATTTTCTTGTCTCACATACAAACACGACTGTGTCTATATAAAACCTAGAAAACACAAGTGACAGAAAACAAGCGGTATCTGCTGTTCTGCACCTCAGCTGTTTGTACCTTTCCGATTGAAGCCAGAGGAGGGCTGCTTGCAGGTGACCCCACTCACCTTGGCAGAGCCAGGCAGCTGGCCCTGGCTCCTGGTTGCACCAGCTTGTTTTCCTGGCTCGTTCTACAGATTCATCACCATCAGCCCATTTGCTTTTCGTAACGTGTGCTTGTCTTTTTCTGGGCTTTCTTGTAATTAGCTTAACCACATCTGCTGTGGCCAACTAGAATATGTCTGTAAAAAAGGAACTGGGATATGTTTGCACTTTGCTGATTTTGATGAGCAATTAGGCATTTTCCAGCATATGGAGCTAATGTGTCAGTCAGCCAATAAGCATTTATCAAGAAGATACTGCATGTGCAGTATTGCTTGAGGGTCTGGAGAAGGAGATGAAGTAAACAAAGACTTCCTCTTAGCCAACCCTGTGGATTGTTTAGACAGACAAAGAGCTTGGCAGAGGTGAATCATCAGCTCCAAAGCAATATTTAGCAGAACATCTGATTCCGAGGGGCTGAAGGGCTGTCTAGCTCAATATCTTTCCTAGTTAGTACAGTCTATAGCTATAAGAAAACACTGACCAAAACCAACTTGGAGAGGAGAGGGTTCATTTGATTTACATGTCCTGATCACAGAACATCACTGAGGGAAGGAAGGGCAGAGACTGAAGCAGGGGCCATGGAGGAAGGCTGCTTACTGGCTTGCTCCCCTAGCCTATGTTTGGCCTACTTTCTTACACAACTCAGGACCACCTGCCTAGGGGTGGCATACCCACAGTGGTCTGGGCCTTCCCACAAGAAAACGCCTCTCAGACATGCCCACAGGCCTGGGAACAGAGGTTCTCTGTTCCCAGGTATGTCAAGTTGACAAAGATAACCATGACAATATCTGAGGCTCAGAGGAAAGTGACTTACTTGTACGCGGCCACTTGGGAAAGCCTGGTTTTTGGACTTGGTCCCCTAATTTCTACTTCATTAAGCAAATATAGAGAATGCACTGCATTCAGAGGACACAAGGGCAGGAGAATGGGCTCAGTAGCTGGGACTCAACCTGGAAGGGTTTCTTCACAGATGTGGGGGCTAGGTCTAGAAAGGAGTGAAGCTTGAACTTCACATGGGAAAGACCCTGTCTTTAGTGGGACTCGCTTGGTCCTTTATGAGAGATTTGAGCAAGCACGGCCATTGTTCTATCATCTTTCTAGCTCCAAGGGCACAGAAGTGACATGTTTTCCTCCTGAGTTCTATCTTCAAAATCTGCTCCACTGATTAAGAATGGTCTCTGTTTCATTAAATACAGATCGCTTTCTGTAGCTGTGCATTATGGGTATTTTGGAGCTTTTGACTCTGGAAGCAATGGGATTATTAAGCCTCTAAGGCTGGGAATGGGATCCCAGCCCCTCTTCCATCCAGTGTTGTAGTCCCTGTATTTTATCAAGATCTGAACATCTATATGCTTGTGGGGTTTTCTCCTCTCCCTTCTCTACTATGAGTTTGCTGAAAGCTATGTCTTCCCGACCTCATGGCAAAGCCTGAGTGTTCACTAAATGATGGTCAGCATTATCAGCCAACGCCCCTAGCGATTACTGAATAATGGAAGGTGGTTAACTGCAAGGTTCTCATACTTTATGCTGATGAAGTAGCCCTGTCTTACTAGGAAGCTGCTTCATGGCCCTTGTTACTGTCCCTCACTTCTCTCCAGTCTGTTCACCAATGCCTTTTTTTTTCCTTTTGTTTGGCAGATCCCTTCTTCTGGGCCTCAAGGGCTCCCTCCCATTGATCCACCAGACATCACACAGATCTACCCTGTTCCTGCCAGCATCCGGCCAGTACTGAGTAAATACCGCGTGGAGGTATGACTCAGAAAGCGGGGACTTCCCCTTCAGGACTAAGAGTGGTGGTCCTGCCTCATGGTTGAAGGGGTGTGGCCAAATGGGCAGCTGACCCCAGGGAAGACCCCATCCAGCTGAACAGGACAGGACAGAGCCTACCACTGACTGCATAGTCTATGCCTAGAAGACTACACTGTGCCCCCCAGGAGGCATGTCTGTTTTTTCCATCACCAGCTGGTTATGCACCTGGCTCTTTTCCAGCTCTGCAGGTAACAGCTCTGCCTGTTCTCGCCTCAGGTTCTCTTCTGGGGAGTCCGAGAAATGAAGAAGGTCCAGCTCCTCTCTGTGGATCGGCCACAGGTTCTCATCGAGTGTGGGGGACGAGGCGTGAAGTCTTGTGTGATCCAGAGTTACAAGAACAACCCCAACTTCAGTGTGCAGGCAGAGGCCTTTGAAGTGGTATGAGTTTCTCCTCTCTCATCTTCTCAGCCCCCTTTCCACAGTCAGGCCCCTCCCCTTCATCTTCTTGGCCTGGAGGGATGCTTCAAAGTATCAAATGAACACAAAAGTAGCCTAGCTATGAAAAGCCAGAATTTCAGAATGAGAAGAAGTAGATGTCTGTTGTTAAAGTTTTCAGGTATAGATGATACAGTAAATCAAAACAAATTAGAAAACTTTTGCCTAGGCAGGGGTCCTCAGAGCATGACTTCAAATTCATCCACATCAGCTTCACCTGTTGCACATTTTCAATAAGGTACCAAAATGCAGGCCTATAATCTCAGCTACTGGGAAGACTGAGGCAGGAGGACTGCAAGTTCAAGACTTGGCTGGCCTACAAAGGTGTTCAAGGCCAGCCTAGACAACCTAGTGAGACTCCGTCTTAAAAATAGTGAAAAGAGGGCTGGAGATGTAGCTCAGTGGCAGAGTGCTTCCCAGCATGTATAAGGCCCTGGGTTCAATCCCTGGTACCCACCTCTCCCCCAAAAGAAAAGAAGAAATGTGCATCCTTAGGTTCACCCCATCAATACTGCACTAAAAAGTGTGGAGGGTGGGCCACAGACATCTTTATTTTAATGAGCCCTCCAGGTGATTCTCAGAGCTGCTGGCTACAAGATGTCCTCTAGAAACTTGCTTTGATGGCTACATTTACATCACATTCTCTGTACTTAGGATGTCAATAGTTTTCATGTGCATGTATGCTTCTGAAGTTATGTCTTTTGACACCTGTGCTTTCATTTGTTACAATTTTCAATATACTTATTTTTGTGCTCTGATTTGTAATTATCTATGAAGACGTTTGCTTTGCCAAACCCAGTCAGCTCCGTGGGACACATGATCAAATATATGTTCAAAGTGAATGCAGTATTTTTGGCCCTTCCAGAGGGACTTCACTGATCCTCATGGGTCTCTAGGGGAAGACATGTGTATGGGGTACTGTCCCCTCAACTCTTGCTCCATGCTATGTGGCTTGATATTAGTATGTTTCACATACTGGGGCTGGCTAAACTGTATTTTAAGATGAGGGTTCTAGTGGCCAACAATGACAAAATGGGACAGAAAACACGCCATAGAGATACAGGACTAGGGAGATTTTTACACTTCAAACCTTTTCGTAATTTGAACCTGGGATGAATTATTACTAGAAAATTTTCTTCAAATGTTTAGTACTTATTCTCTGGTTTGGGAGACTATGCTCCAGAGTTTTGGCAAGCTGCTGGGATGGTCTGAGGAATAGAACATCGGGAAAAGGAGACCAGAAGTGGAGACCAGCTAGTTCTATGCGTGCTCAAAGGCAGATCTGCAAGACCATAGCAGGCAGACCCACCCCAGGCAGTAACACTTCACTTCCACCTCTTCTGCAGGAACTGCCTGAGAATGAGCTCCTGCACCCACCACTGAGCATATGTGTGGTAGACTGGAGAGCTTTCGGGAGGAGCACCCTCGTGGGTACCTACACTATCAACTGCTTAAAGCAGTTTCTATGTAAATCCAGAGAGCCTCTTGCTCTAACTTCACAGATGGATGGAGCTCCAGCTGGGCCAGGTAGGAAGTGCCTCCTAGATTCTGGAGCAGAGGACTATCGGGTCATAGTGCTTATATGTGTCTGCTGTGGGCCCTGCCTCAAAGAAGATACCCATGCCCAAGTGGCTGGTTAGATGGGCCCTTCTGATAATCTGTTTCTGCAGCTCTTCTGCCTTAGCATCCAAACTCTAAGATTCACATCACTATCAATCCCTCTAAGAAGACATCCTTGAATATACCCTAAACTCCTGCCCCAGCCTGCATGCTCTGCCACTTTTCTTGGCTTTATGCTTGGTGTTATTTTAATTTGTTCCTTTTTTGGATCTCAGGTGTGCAGAGTTAATTGTACTTCTCAGATCCATGCTCTATAAGCATGATCTACTCGGGTTTTCACTGTCATTATATCATCATCCTCCTATGCCTAGTTCCCAGCCCCATCCCTACTGTGGGCCTCTAATCGACAGCCTTGTTAATTAGATCAAACAACATACATTTGGTATATGCATATAATATGATGCTATCATCTTTCTTTGGTTCTTCTCACTCAGCACTATGTTCTAATATCTATCCATATTATTTTGTGCACATTAGTTTATTATTACTACCTGTTGCATCTACTGTATTTCCCACTTCCTTTTGAACTGGAACAAACCCCTAGGCTGCCCACAGCTCCATGCATCCACTAATAGTCCTGTGATGAATGTCCTTGTGTGTTTTTCTCAAGGGAAGATGCTGTGAGGGAATTTCTCCAGAATAGGTACCCAGGAGTAAGAAACTGGTCCCAGGGAATGTGCATATGTAATTTTATTGAGTACAGCCAGAGGGCGCTCCCTGAAGACTGTTCTAATCTACACCAGTTTACATATTCCTCCATTTCTGCATCTGGAGCCCCATGTACTTTTTCCTGCAGCCCTTTCTCCAACCTCCTCCTCGCCTTACCTCCTACTGTCCAACTTTTTGAGGCTGTATTTTGTCTTGATTTAGGTCTTTTTTTTTTTTTTTTTTTGCTGTGGATGTAAATTAGTGTCTCATTGTAATTTTAGCTTGGATTTTCTGTATCTAGGAGAGTATGTTGGATTAACTTGCTGTTGAAACACAGTGCCTGATGGAAGGAGAAACTCTGAAGGCCTTGGCAGCCGTGGAAGCCCCAGACTGAGAAATGCCCCCAGTACTGAGTTCTATAGCATGAAGTACACAGAACATTTGACAATAACAGACAGTGTTATGACCCTTGAATGACAGGTTAAGAATCTGAAGTGCAGGGACATACCTCAGCTCTCTGCTTAGGCACATGTACTCATGTGCCCATGTTCTTCCTACATTTGGGGGTTCACTGACCTCTGAAACCTCAAAGTCTCCTCCATTTACATACTGGGGAGAGGCAATCAATGTAAAGGACCTATGTCCAAAACCCTGGCTTTCATGATCCCAGTGTCCACAGTTTCTCTAAAGGACAAATAATGAATGCAACCATTTATTGATTGCCTATTGTGTCAGATGCCGTATATCCTGGTCTTAGTTTAACCTCTAGGGAAATGGGTGGTTTTTTACTATCATTGAGGTCAGAAATGTCAAGAACTTGCCATGTATGTATACAGTTTCAATTCTTAGCATTAGAAATGAGTGATATGTGGCAGCCCTGCTCCCTGATGGACCTAATCTACCTACATTTAGCTATTTCAGATTCCCTAATAGCAACCGAGTCTTCTGGACTCCTCAGTCCTTCCCAAGATCCCCAAGAAGATCATATCTTCGTGGATGTTGAGCCACCTCCCACAGTGGTACTTGACTCTGCCCAGGCCCAGACAGCCACCTTGGTTGACATCCCTGACTCTTCTCCTATGTTGGAGCCTGAACACAAATCTGCAGCCCAGGAGCCACCGAAAGATGGAAAAGTTAAGGTCAGATTGTACTTCCTCTTCATATTTACCAGGCTCACTGGAATTTGCATTGGAGAATGTAGGATGTAGATAGTAATCTTCCCGCCCACCAGCTAAGTGACTGTGAGCCAGCAGCTTTACATTTCTGGGTATCAGTTTCCTCATTTGTAAAATGAAGATATTGATGCCCACCTCAGAGCACAGTTGGAGGATTACAAAGTCACTGTGTATGAAATTAAAGTGCTAGTCAAATGTAACAGTCATATTTAATGGAACAGAAACTCTTCTAAGTTCATTAGCTTGGAAAGGCAATGGTTTCTTCATCCAGGACTACAGCACAAAACATTTACAGCCTCCTTCATACAAGGTCAGACAAGACCAAAAAGATGTGTCTTTGAATTCTAAAGAAGAGAAAGACTTTTCATCCCTAGGTAACTGAGATTCTGGAAGATGTCTATGACTATACCACCTTAAACATGATACCTTTCTTGTCTTGGTGCTAAGCAAGGTCAGGCCTGATTAGTTTTTGAATGGGAGATTCTGGAAGGAAAGATAGAACGGTACACTGAAAACCATAAAACAAAGATGAACTTAATCTCTTTAAGTCATACACTTGAAAACTTCAAGATTATTTTAAGAAAGTTCTTGTGGGGCTGGAGAGATGGCTCAGAGGTTAAGAATGCTGGTTGTTCTTGCACTATTTTAAGAAAGTTCTTGTGGGGCTGGAGAGATGGCTCAGCGGTTAAGAATGCTGGTTGTTCTTGCAGAAGACCCGGGTTCGAATCCCAGCACCCACATGGCAGATAACAACTGTCCGAAACTTCAGTCCCAGGGGATCTGACAGCCTCTTCGGACCTCCACGGGCATTGCACGACATGGGTGCTCTTACCTACACGCAGGCAATACACACATACACATAAAATAAAATAAAAAAAGAAGTTCTTGTCCATTATCTGCAATCCCAGAACTCAGAAGGCTGAGGCAGGAGGATTACAAGTTGAAGGCCACTCTAGTCTACATGGCGAGGCACTGTCTCAAAAAAAAAAAAAATCCTTAAGAAACTTCTTGCAGGACTGGAGAGATGGCCCAGCAGTTAAAAGCACTGGCTGCTATTGCAGAGAACCTGGGTTCAAATCCCAACACCCACATGGTAGCTAACAACTGTACATAACTCTAGTTCCAGGGGACCCAGCACCTTCTTCTGACCTCTGCAGGCACTACAGGACACTGACACAGGTGTGCTTACATACATGCAGGCAATATACTCATTCATATACATAAACTAAAAATAATAAATATTTTTAAAAGAAACGTCTTTCCCAGTAGATAGTAAAAACTGGAATCTGCTTTTTACTTCCCTGGACTGCACAGCCTCTGGGCATCCTGGTGCCAGCACCTTTCCTGGTCCCCCGGAGTCCTCTGGGCCTGGCCCCGTCCTCATATCCCTTTGCTTCCCTGGCCTGCACAGCCTCTGGTATCCTGGTGCTAGCACTTTTCCTGGGCCCTGCTCCCAGGCCAGCCCAGCCCCCAAATTCTCAAGGGTAGCATTTTTCCTGGAGGGATCCAGACCCTAGCAGAAAGCCTGTGAGCATCTGAGCCTCATCTCACTTGGGCCTCTGTGGAAACTCCTGAAGATGAAAGCAATCTGGCCACTCCAATATAAAATCAAAAGAGACAACCTGATGCCTAGACCAACCAGTTTTTCATGCCCAACAAGTAAACCACAAAGGCACATAAAGTTTACAAAAAGAAGCAGACTTAAACTCAATAAAAGAAGGCTTGAGTCTCACACAAGAATCAGAAACTATGAAAGAAACTCACATGTCAAAGTCACAGAGAAAAAATAATAATGTGAAAAACCAAAATAATATATCCCCACCAACTCTCCTAGAGATAACCCAGGACATGGACTCAAAAGAACAATTATAAACATGACAAAAGAATTCAGTCAATTTAAAGAACACACAAACAAATAAATCAAAGAACTTAAAAAACAGAGAACCAAGACAAGAAGCCTTATTTTTACACCCACTTCCCAGATGGCATCCTCCCATACCCTCCCTCCCCCCACTACAGCCTTTATACTCTGATATCCCTGCTACTGTCTGCTGTGTTGTTGACACACCCAGCAATTCCCCACTACTTGCCCTTCTGGTGAATCTAGCCAGCCTTTCTAGAGGTCGTTGTTTTAGGAGAGTCAACTGTTCCTCATCTAGTGGTTATCAGTTGTCAATATTCCTTTGGATAAGATTGGGATCTGCTGTTCATTTTCCCAATTCTATACTGTGTTACTCTCTGAGAATCCCTTTGGCCACCCTGGCCAACAACTCAAAAGACGGTATCGCCTGTCTGGT